TCTAATCAGCTGATTAAAGCCATTTGTTTGTGTATTCACCCCTCCTGGTTGCCCAAGCGGAGACCCTTGGTAGGAGTTCGCCTGCAGAGCTCCTGCCTCCCTGCTCTGCCCTGTCTCTCTTGGGCTTTGTTTCTCAAATGACTCAGAACTCAAAAATGAGAGTCAGATATTCCAAAATCATGACAATTAAATAATAGATTAAAAAGAGAGAGAGAGAGAGAGCACGCTAATGAGCTGCAGAATAATGTTGCTGTTTTCAGTTTTTGAATACAATGGCAAAACTGGAGTTTTTTTTGTCTTTTGGTAGGAACTTGAGTTTTGAGCTGAACCACACAATGCCAACAGCTGCAATTGGAGGAAATAATGGCACTCTGAGCTTGTAATTCTGTGCTGCAAAGCAGAAGAGCAAGCAGGACCCAGTGGTGCTCAGTAAAAATGGGTTCCTTAGCTGGAGCAAGGGGCAGAGGAATGGGCTGGGAAAAGGTGGTGGGGAATAGTTGTGTCCTGGGATGCCTCCCCAGCTCTGTGCCCAGCCCAGGTCTCCAGGAGCGGCTGGGGGCTGCACCATTCTGCCCCCACTCTGCACCACCTGGAGCTGTGTGAGTGGTGGCTAAATGACTCAGCTTCCCTTCCAAACATCCCACTGAGTGCTGTCATTGGGAAGAGAACCCTAAGATCCCTGCTTTCAGTTCTGCTGCGGTTGGGTGGGTGGCTGCCTGCAGAGGGACTTCCACAAACAGAACCTAAATGCCACAGCCAAGTGGCTGCTGGGTGCTGACCTGGGCTACCACAGCTGTAGAAGCGAAGGCTGAGACTGGTCCAGGCTGCAGCGTGCCGGTGCTCCCTCCTGCTGATCCATGGGGCATGGCAGCATGACACCAAAAGCTGCAGCTGCAGCCAGTGCTGTCCATGTGAGTGGCCATGCATAGCGTCTCTGGAGTCGCTGGGAGGCACTGGGAAGCTTGTGCTGAGGACCTCACCTGAAAATCCAGCATTCTGGTGTTTTCTGCCCTTGGAAATGGTGTTAGTTTCCAAATGACATCATTACGGATCAGATTGCACTGCTTTAAAAGCTAACCACTCTGTGCAGGCTATGTTCACAGCCTCCGGATTCCTCTTCTCTGGGCATGCCAGCAATCTCCCTTTGGGCTCATGCAAACCCCCAGCATCAGCATCCCCCTTCAGACTGAGCTCCTTTTACCCCTTGGTGCATTGCTCTTACACATTTACCTCCCTCTTGCACCAGGAGAGGTGGTGGCTCTGTCCCTCCCAGGGCTTTCCGTGATAGCCCCGTATTTACAGACTGCCCAGCTGTGTCCTGGGGATACACCATGAAGGATAGTGGGTTTGCAGCCTCTCCAGCTCCTGCCCCATATGCTGCCTGGGGACAAGCAGAGCATACACAAGAGGACTGGAGCACCATGATCCCATAGGCTGCACACACAACTTCAGGCCCCTTTGATTTCCCCTCCAGCAGTGTATTTTCCACTGCATTTAAAAATAAAATCCAGCAATAGAAACTGCAGCTAATTTTATGCCCAATTTCTCGTTCCCAGGCTCCTGCAGGATGACGTGTGTCCATCTGCCCAACCTCTCCATATCTCTTCACCCCAGTAGCAGAGATGTGCTCATGTGGTTGGAATGGCATGAGCTGTGAACACAGCTGGGACATGGTGACACTGCCACGAGGTGGGGACACAGCAACCCACTCCCAACATGGAGCTGGGGACTGCTGGGGGGACAGCCCAGCAGGGCGTGGGGCAGGGGGGCTCAGAGACCTGCGGGGAAGGGGAGAAGAAGAGGCTATGATGAGCACCAGGCTGCAGCATCTGGGGAAACGCATGTGGCTGCAATGGCCCACCAGCTTCACCCATCTTCTGAACCAGATGAAGTTTTGCAATGTTCTGTGTTCTCACAGCTCTCCTGGTTACACGAGTCTGGACTCACGCTGAAGCAGAGTGCAGCATTTCCAGCCCCCCTGGCTGCAGGGGGAATCTTGAAGATGGGAGTGATGAATACTGAACTCCCCAGAGAAGAAAAAAATCCTTTCCTAAACATATTATTGACAAAGATTTCTTTCTTCTTCCTCCCCCTTTTTTTTTTCCTTCCTTTGGCTGATTTCATGATTTCAGAAGGTTTGAGGAGATTTATGGGTTTCTGAGAGTTGGCCATGGCACAGCAGTTGACTCAGCTCAGCAGAGGAAAACGTGCGAAGCAGCGGTGTCAGAAACAGCCCTTGGGGTTTGGGCAGAGAAGCAAAGGGGGAAGAGGCACTGCCTCGTGTGCTGGATGGTGCAGAGCAGGAGAAGCCATGGGGAGGAAGCTACCTCTGCCCCCAGCTCCATGCAGGGACACAGCACTAAAACGTCTCACGTAAACCCAGTTTTCTTACCAAGTCATCCACATTAAATATTTAATGACAAAATCATTACACAGAATCACAGAATGGCCAGGGTTGGAAGGGACCTCAAGCATCATGAAGCTCCAACCACTGCCACACGCAGGGCCACCAACCTCCACATTTCATACCAGCCCAGGCTGCCCAGGGCCCCATCCAACCTGGCCTTGAACACCTCCAGGGATGGACGGGGCATCCACAGCCTCTCTGGGCAGCTGTTCCAGCACCTCACCACTCTCATAGTAAAGAACTTCCCCCTGACATCCAACATAAATCTTCCTTCCCTCAACTTAAAACCATTTCCCCTTGTCCTGCTATTACTTACTTGGTTACTGCCCTCATGGCTGAGCTCTCTCCAGGCTGCCTTGGGCTCACTGCTAACCCTGGGCAGCTCCCAGCCCAGCACACCAAACCGCCCGCAAAGTGGCTCGGCTTGAGCACTGATGGAGGTTTTGGAAGATATTAAGATCTAATGAAGACTTTGGAAGCATCTCAAAGCAGTTGATGCTTTCTGCGCAGAGAGATCATGCCAGAGGTACCAGGATGGAATCAAATCTGCATCTGTCACTTAGAAATGGCCTTTCCCTTTGAACCGTCCTTAAATACAGAAAGAAAAAGAAAAGTATATTTTAAAATGTTCAAAGTGAACTCAAACAAAGCATTTTGGGCTCAAGAAAACTTTGGTTCTGAGGCAATGCCTTGGGGTTGCTTTGTTTAGTCCATAGGAGGAGAAAGCACATTCCTTTTCCAGTCAGCCCAGCACCGAGCAGGAGCTGCCCATTAGCAGCCCTGCGGGGTGCAGTCACCCACAACACACCTCAGCCCTCCTCACGGCCGCAGCACTCCCAGGGACACGTGGTACTGCTGCTGTGCACCTCGAGGCCCCACCAGCACCGTGCTGCTCCTCGATGGCTGCTGCTCCCCCAGGGAGGAAGTGGGGCGGATATCCGCCATGGCAGCTGTGCTTGATGTAATGGGGAGAGTAAAGTCATGGTCCCCAAGGAACGCAGCTGCGGAAGAAAGTAGGAATTTTGGGAGCCCCACCTCCACCCCCTCCCCATCCTGCCAGGTCTCCCTGCAGAGGGAGCATCTGTCTTCAATAATCTGTACCTTGGAATAGGCTCAGATGTACAGACAGCAATGAGCGCATGTGCCAGGTCAGGGTCATGCTGCAGAGACACCAGACCTGCCAGGAGTGCTGTGCTGACAAACACCTCAGGGCACTGCCTCCCCTGGGAACAAGCTGGGATGGGGACAGCAGAGGCTGCCACGGTCAGGGCAGAACCAGTCCTTCACCACCCAGCAGGCTGCACTGTGACTGTGGGCTCAGCTGGGATGGGGGGAAGGGGAGCACTGAGCACAGGTGGGTGCTGCTGCTAACGCAGGAGGCAGACAGGTAATTTGGGGCAGGAGAGAACACCTTGCAATGAGAGACCAGAGAGGTGAACAAGAGCACTGCACTGGGTGTCAGGTGACAGGGCTGAAAAGCACCAGGCACTGAGCGCAGCTGAGAGCAAACGCAGGCACTAGCTGCACACCCTGCCTGGCTCCACTCCCTGTCCCGTAGGGGACGACTGTCCCAGAACACAGTGGCTTCTCCAGGTCCTCAGTTCACATCCCAGTGGTTTGCAGTGGAAAGAGCAGGCCTGAGAGTGCAAGGTGTGGGCAGTCTGACTGCACACTGGGTACCAGAGCTGCTGTAAACTGCTCCAGGCAGAAGGGAAGCTGGCCAGGCAGACAACAGTTTCTGTATGTCAGGGAGGAAAAGCAAAGGCACAAAACATATGGACTGGGGTCCCAAGATGCAGCTGTTCCTGCTGGCATTTGGAATAATTGCTCTGCTGAGAGAGCAGCCCTTCTCTATCAAGGCTGCTGGGCGCACAGCCCAGCCTCCGAGGGTGTGAGAAGGGCATGGAACCGAGCAGGAGAATACAGAAACCTCAAATAGACCTGGGCGACTAGACTCCTCAGACAGCATCACTGGGGACACAGAGGATGAGATCCTGCAACCCCTGGGGCAGGCTGGGGGCCAGATGTGACTCCTGGTTGAGCCCAGGCCCTTCTGTGGCTGCCTCTCACCCACTAACAGCTTCAACATCAGACTCCGGTCCTGGGGGACCCCCTATGCTGTCTCACTCTGGAGCCAGCAGTGCTGGGACCTGTGATAGATACTTGAAGGCTTGAGTGCTTAGGTGGCATGGCACCTTTCTGACCATCTCAGCATCAGGGCTGAGTGCAGCTCATTGGGCTGGGCATAGCCAAGACCTGCCGTGCTGCAGCTGTGCACAGCAGCCTCCAGCTGTGAGCAGCACCCGTGGCTGTGCGTTCACAGATCTGTGCAAACACACAGACCAGAGCCCAAAGAGAAGGGAAGAAGTGCACAGCACTGCTCAAAGCCCTGGCCACAAACCTGGCTCTTGTGGCACCAGACTGCCACGCTCACAGTAACAGGACAGTCAGGCATAGAGATGAGGGTCAGGCACACGGCAGCCCCTCCAGGGAGCCCACAGCAACACGGGCAGCCTGGCGCTGGTGGCTCCCAGCCCCAGGGAAGCCCTGCTCACAGCAGGAGCTTCCTATTTCCCAGGACTTCCCTGCGCTGAGAGGGCCCAGGTCCAGCACTGTCTGGACAGTGGACAGGATGTTCCCCTGCAGCCAGGCAGCCCCAGCACCAGGGCAGGGGCAGAGCTGCCCTGGCTCCTCACACAGAGGGGCATTGAGCAGAGACAATGATCCTCTCTTTGCTTTGAAAGACCTTTCGGACTTCACATCTTAGCGAAAACTGGGACATTTATGGCAATTATCACTCCCTCCTTCCCCTGTCTAGGACTTGTGGCTGCCCCACTCTCCACTTGAAAGGAGCCGCTGCAAAGATCACTCTCCCAAGCACAGGAGGGCTTTGGCTCAGATTCTCCTGCACAGCTCTGCTCCCATACCAGAGATGGAGGCACAGACAGCTCAGCTGCAGAGCACAGAAGTGCAGGTCGGACCCTGCAGGGTGCAGCAGCATCCCAGCTGTGCTGCAGGAAGGCACCACTCAAAAAGAAATAGCATTAAATTTGTGAACTACATCAGCATCACCTGAGCAGAAGCCCCACAGCAAGCTGCTAGAGTAACAGCCACAGGCTCTAAGGGTTGCATAGTATGGGTGTTTTGTAATCCCATTGCGCAGCAGTGAGGAAAGGCCAGGAGTGTCCCCAGCCCAACAGCACAGAGATGTCCAGATGGGAAGGGAAAGGGCATGGGAACATGACCTGGAGCACAGACCCACTGGGCTCCTCAGGGCTGTGCAACCTCTGCTCACCTGCAATCCCTCCAGACAAGACAGGCAGGAACTGCAAGGCTTGCAGCAATAGATGGACTGATTCAGTCAGAGACAGAAAGATAAATTAAATAGATCACCCCACTTTATTATCCCTAAAGACAGGTTACAAGGAGAGTCACTTTTTGTTAAACCTCAGGTAAAACAGGCACCGGACACCAGAGGTGGCATCATGACAGGGATGGCAGGCACTGATGCCCAGGGGACAACTAACACCCTACTCCTGCAGATAGAAGATGACTCCTTTGGACTTGCTCTTCCTCACTCTCCCTTGCGCTTTCTGATCCCCACTCTGGCAGCAGGTGCAAGAAAAGAGCAGAGACTGAACACCATAAAGTGAGCTTCAGGTCAAGGTCAGCCTCAGAGAGTTGGGTGGGACAAACTGCACTGGATGGGTAAAAGGGTCTTCTCAGGAGTAGGTGAGGAGTTGGTCTGCACAGTCCCCAGCCTAACACAGCTGAAGCTGGCACAGCAAGGCAGCACTTTTTGCCCAGCTTGGCGTGTTGTGCTACAGCACTGTGCCAGGAGTCTGAACACAAAACAATGCTGAAGAGAAAGGCCAAGGCTGCGCTAGGTGGGGATTCACACCGATCACTTACAAATGTACCATCAGTAACAAGTACCAAGCCACACTGAAAAATATTATTCAGGTCAAGCCCCATCACTGAGCTGCATGGAAAGGAGGAGATATCCCGAGACACATCAGTCTATGACCCATGCTTACACCACCACGCAAAGCTGCCATTTCTCCACCAGGAGATGTGCAAAAGAAAGAGACCAGCCACCTCTTCTCCATCACCCGCATTCAGTTAAACAAGAAAACGAGTCCTAAAGCCCCACTGTGAAATCAGGCTCATGCTGCAAGACATAACCTCTCCTTTTAAAGTCATCAGGAAAAAATATAGGTCTGGCAGTCATTAGGAAATGTTTGCCAGTTCAGGAAGATAAAGAGAGATAGAGGTATCTGCCTCAATCTGCAAACAGCCTGAACGAGCAGCTCAGAGGTACAGGTTACCTGATCCAGGTCTATGGCTCATCAACTACAGGAGCCTGCAAATGTGTAAACAGCGACTATGGCATCACTACGGCAAACTGGAAAGGATTATCCCAGGAGGAGCACCAGCTCAGGCATTGCTCTAGCCCAGTCTGGTTCCACTAGCGGGCAGAACACAGGCAGCAGGGGGGAACTAGGCATGCCCCACTACAGATTTTCAATCCTGTCCTCTGACAGAGGGACAAGCAGCAGACAGGATGCCCTTCAGTGGGCAGGCTTGCCTGGGAATGCCAGATGGAATGTTAAAGATCAGTATCTTTTTCCAAGAGCAGCCAGAATTCAGCCTAGGTCAGGCCTAGAGTACAGCAGCTCTCCCCATTCACACAGTAAGAGCAGCAGCTGTTTCCACCCGACACACTGGGGGTCAAGAGGTAGGGGAGCAGTCAACTGCAGTCAGTTTTGAACAGGAGCAGCTTGCGAGCAGCACTGCCGGCCACGTGCAGCAGCATGGCAGGGAGGGGACTCCCGAGGCCTGCCCAAGCAGATCAGGGAAGCGCTGTCCCCAGCTTCTTCCCACCATGGGCAGTTCCAGGCCTCCACAGGCCTTGAGATGAACACCTGGAGCAATGGACAGAAGGGTTTTAGGGCAAGAGCCCCAGCTCCACCAATCCCCTGGAGAAGCTCAATATGGGGCGAGGAGCGCTGGGAGACACATGCTAGATGAAGGTGGAGTCCAGCTGGCTCATTTCGTGATTGCTGCGGGCACGTGCCTCAAAGAGCTGCTTGATCAAAGCAGATTTCTCCTGTTCCAGCTGGGTGATGCGTTCACTCTTGTCAGTCACCTCCTGCATTGGAAAGAGGAGATAAGTGCTGCTCAGAGCTCTGTGCTGTGCCCGAGACCACCGTGACGTGGGCCAGGCCCAGCTGCTCCATGCCCCCTGCAAACCAAAAGCACCATCTGCAGATGTCAGAACATAAACCCCTGCAGCGAGCCTACCTGGGCAGGGGCATCCTTAGCATCTGCACCCTCTTGTGGTCTTCATTTGTCACAGTCTTTTCCCTGTAGCAGGGCCAATGATGTCCACATCCACGGTCCCATACTGAGCAAACAGCCCAAGCCCATCACATGAGGGGCACTCAGTTGTGAGAGGGATGGGCCCACAGCCCATCTCCAGGATGACCAAAGTTGGCCAAGCTGAAGGATCACTTTCCACAGCCACATATTCTTTCTCCGATGGCTCCCTCTGAGCATTCTCTTCCCCACCATCCCTGCTCACCTTGGTGAGAAGCCGGTTTTGCTCCTTCAGCATGTTGATGGCTTGCTGGGAGCCTGCTGAAGCTGGGGACACGGCAAGGGCAGTGGGGGTCAGCCTGCTCAGCGCTGAGGTGGAGTTCCCTGGCTGTGGAGAGGATGAAGGGAAAGAATGAGACAACAACCTTCTGGTGGACCTCCTCAACCTGCCTCTGAAGCCAGGTTTCTGTGGCACAAGGGAACGAATGGGTTGGGAGCTAAGAGAAACCCAGCACAGGATTAAGATCCACCAGCACAGGCCAATGCAGGGTCTCCAGCAAGGTTACTCCAGAGTAGTGTAGACAGAAGTAGAAGCACTCCTTGCAGCATCTCCTGCTCCTGTAAGGAGCCCATGCAGCAGCTGGCATCCAGGACAGTCAGCTCTGAGAGGACTGACTCAGCATCTCAGCAGGATGCTTTCCCTGTTTGCATGCAAAGATCTACACTTTCAGGGGGATCTTCTTTAGGTCTTCATATGCCTTGAGCATCCTCCAGCCCAGACAAGATGCACTTCCCTCTTGGCCCACCTTGGCAACAGAGCCAAGTTGCCTCTCCACAGCCCAGGGAAGCTCTGGCAGCCCATATGCCAGCTTGGCTGCCAGCATGAGGGCAGGCCTCTGGCTCACACAAGTGACTGCAAACCACTAACTTATTGTTCTCACCTTGCCCACAGCTGACAAGAGGTCACCCAGGCAGCGGTTCACCTCCTGCAGCTTTGGGATCAGGTGCCCCAGGTGGCTCTGACTGCCATCAGGAAGGAAGTCCTGGAAGATGGAGAGAAAGGGTCCAGGTGTTACCTTGGTGCCAGCTTCCAGGGAACCACACTACCTAATGGGGAGGCATGGTGGCTGGCCATCCTCCAGCCCTACCCACACCTCCCAGCACCAGGGCACTCCTCCATTCCCACATCCCAGCCCCAAAGCATCACCAGCACAAAGCCCACACAAGCCTTGAGACGCACATGCATTTAGATGCCATGGGATGCATACTGCCTCACAGCACAGCCAGCATGAGGGCCAAGGCTGTGGCTGCTCTGTCAGACTGGGATCCTGATCCTGTGTGCAGCATGGCAGGACATGAGTGGGGCTGGCTAGCTGTGCTGTGGGTGCATGCTGCCTCAGATCCCTCTCAGCAGGCCCAAGGGAGAGCCCCGTGGCTAGCATGTGTGCAGCAGAACATCCCAGTCAGTGGGAAAGGGTTCAGCCTTTCTGCATTTTTGCCTGGGAAAGCCACTGCCATGAGGCCAGGCCTGATCCCATCCTCACAACAAAATCTCAACTCTGCACCAAGTGTGTGGATAAATACTGAATAGAGGGATATGCTTGCTCCCTCTCCCTCTCTTCTGCCAGGAGGGTCTGCTCCAATTCCCCCCACCCATCTGGGATCCCCAGGCCAGAAGTGCAGGCACACAAAGACAGCATAGCAAGGCCAACACCAGGTGAAACAAGATGTCCCAGCCCAGTTCTTCTAGCCGACAGATTCTCCCAAGCTGATGTACATCCCCAGAACAAGCCCCACTCACAGTGCTGGTTTTGTTTTTCCCCAGCAGCCTCTGGCGTTCTTGCATGAAATGGATGTGCTGGTGGTACCACTCACGGGCACGCTCAACCATCTCCAGACCCTGAAGCAGGAAATCCTTCTCCTGTTCCAGCTCCTTCATATGCTTCAGCTGCAGGACACAGTGCAGACATGTTACTCCCTTCTTACCCAGTCCAAGCCAAATGCTCAGAGTAACACTGCCTGGTCAGCTCCCATCTGAAGGCCCCTAGGAGCAATGTAACCTAGGCCCCTTCCTGCAGCCCAGCCCAAGGAGCTGGCTTCCTCATGAGGCACAGAGGAATTTGGTTATTGGCAGCTGTGGCAGCCCCTCTTGCCACAAGCAGCTGCAGAGGAGTTGGGTGATGGCCATTGGCTGATCCTGGTTTGGGGTAGGTTCTCCAATTTGGGAGAGCAACAGTCAAAGGGCCATTAGGTCATCTCTATTCTCCTGGCCAGGGAATCAGGCCTACTCCCCATCAGCTCTCACTACAGAAACAGGTTTCTCTGCTTTGTCATTTATCTGAGCACTGCTAAGAACAGGGCCTGCAGCCACTCCTGAGGCTGCGAGCTCCTATAAGCAGCAGCAACTCACACTGCTGTCAGGAAGCAGCCAAGTCACCTGCACAGACCAGAAGCCTGGGCAAAACCTACGGCCTACTTACCCAACCCTCTGCTTTCCCTTTTGCTTCATTGCCTGAAGCATCTCTGAGCTGAGCAAAGCATGTCTTTCCTGCTGACTGGTTCTGCTTAGCCTTCAAGTTTGAGCTCCAGAGCCATCTGCAGAGGGACTAGGTATGTTCAGGTGTCAGGGGGAAGCTACAAGAGCACCTGAAGCTCTTGCCCTCAGGCCCAGCTCAGGCTCCCACCAGCACCCCCTCTCCATTGGCTCCTTGGCACTGCACTGTCACCAAGAAGTCACAGAGCTGGCAAGAGGAGTCTGCTCCGTGTGGAACAGAGCATCCTTAGCACAGCAAACCATCAGCTCTTGCCCAGCAAGCCTGTGCCCCCCTCCCCCCCAACCTGCTCCTCCAGAGCTGTGCCCCCTGCTCACATCCTTGCAGCTGCTCTGAGGAAAAGAGGCCAAGAACAGCCCCAGCCCTCCCCTCAGCAAACAGCCACCTGCCCTTTCTGCCACAGTGCCACCTGAGCTCCACTGCCTGTGGCACAGACTGGGCACCAGGAGCTGCCCCCACAGAGGGCAGGCTGCTCTCCCCACACCCAAAGAGAGCCAAGTGGTAAGCCTGGAACTTCTCCTGCTGTCTGGAGAGCATCTGGAGCTTAGAAGCGACCCCAGGCAGACCCCACTCCAGCAGACAGACAAGGATGTACCAAACACTCTGAGGATGGCAGCACTTCCCTGTCCCCATCTCCAGACCGGGAGCCCTGCAGCTGTCACACACTGACCACCCCATAACACCAGTGCTGTTCTTGCTCCCTCTGCTCCTGGAAATGCTGTTGACAATACAGCAGCAACACACACACAGGCTCAGGCAGACAGACCAAGGGGAACATACCCACAGGAAGAACCGCAGAGCCTTGGTACTGCACAGACTGTTGCTGAGGGGCATGAAGAAGGTGCTGTATGTGGCAAGGACCCCCATCCAGCTCTGGCTGCAGCCTGTGACTGCCTGTCCCATCCTGATCCCACCTGACTTGCATGGAGATGGGAGGAAGGAGCAGCAACCTGCTGAGCTGGGGAACATCAGGCAGTTCTGCTGGCTGCAGGGACAGATGGCATCTCCCTAGGGGAGTGGGATGGGATATAGCATCTCGGGCAGGGCCAGGACAGGGAGGTGGAGTGGGCACAGCAGGTCTTGGTTGGTGCTGCCTGTGGTAGAAGGGGAGGGGAGAGTGCCATGCCCTGGGCTGCCCACAAATTAAAGTGCTCAACCTCTCACAGGCCTCATCCCAACTACCCTAAGGGCATGGAGAAATGGGGCCAATCGATGGACTCACTGAAAAAAACAAAAAAAACACAATCTGAGCAGACTTTAGCCATCCATCTTAAATTCCTGGGCTGCAGTACAGCCCCCAAACCTCTGCCTTGCTGATCAAGATTAACAGGTCCTACTATACTCATGGGCTGCCAAATGGACATCAGTCCCTTCCACCCCCACCCCTCTGAAAATGGAGCAAATTAGCCTAATCACAGCTGTGCGCCCTGACTCTGCAGTGCCCAGCATCCTCCCAGTGCCAGGGAGGATGGAAGCATAGCCAGGGAAGAGCACTGTCCTGCACACAGACACAGTCCTTGCTAGATTAAAAACTGCTCCAACTGTCTCTGCATACTCAAATGTGGAACTGGCGCCCAAATGTTTGTGTCCTGATGCTGGGGAAGGCTTCTCACCCCCACCCCCCAGGATAGTGCCAGGCATCTCATCTTTGAGAGGAGGAATACAAAGGCAGTGCAGCAATTGGATATAAAGGGGATGGAGGGAAGAAATTGGGACACCTGACTCCCATATCCTGCATGGCAACTAAGCAGCGTGGTGAAATAAAGGTAAGAGCAACACTAGTCCAAAGCAATGGTATGTGTGGCAGTCCCAGGAACAAACAGCATCTTCCAGCAAGATGCCCTGGCCAAAGCCCTTCCTCACCAGCACCAGGAAGGACATGGAGCTAATGCAGCACTGCCACCTCTGCTGCACTCCAGCTTGGAGCTGCATGCACAGACAAGAGCCCTGGCAGAAGAGGGGGGCATGCCCTCCCCAGGCAGCCATCAAAACTTTAGGAGCAGAGGGATCACAACCCCAGGCAGGCACATCCACAGTTATTGCCTCTTGTCAACACCTCTCAGCTGAGATGGAAGAACTGGCCCTTTGCATTGCTGCAAGCCCAGCAGACCTCTTCCCACATGTGCATAATCCAACCCTTCCCAGGCAAGTCAGGCCAGGCCAGGCAATGGAGCGTATTATATTTCCCAAAGCCAGGCGATGCTGCAGTCAATGCTGCACAAGGACAGCACACGAAGCCCGCCGGCTGGCCCAGGCCAGGCAGCGAGTGACACCAGGGTGTGAAAAGGGGAAATGCAGACATGAGAGATGCAGCCTTGCCAGCAGCTCCTTAGCCATGAGACAAAGCAAGGAAAGTTCATTCTACAGACAAGGTCCTGGCTCTCTTCCCAGTCAAATTTTGCTTGAGCTTGTAGGCAATATGCCCAGTCAGCTTCTACATTCCACGTGGGAGCAGCACAGATCCCTCAGCCTGGGTTACCTGATCTAAGCCTCTCCACTTAGCAATAGAGAGAGAAGCAGATCTCTTGGTTCCAGGCTTCCCAGCCAAATTCAGTTCAGATTTGTCTGCAAAAAATCTCCCAGGAGCCATGAGGATCAGCATGCTAGAGCCCTGACCTACATCATCTAGCAGAGGTCACAGCACAAGGCCATTTCCCTGTGCTCTGTCCACATCCTGGCGGAAGGGAAGCCTGCAGTGCTGGCTCTGGCTGCTCAGGGTCTTCGGGCTGCAGCACAGCATGCCTCAGCATCACCAGTCACCAGCACAGTGCACACATGATTTCTGCTGGAGTGCTTGAAAGGTCCAGAGACCAACCTACTGAGACCACTGCAGCACTGGAGCCTCCTCCTAACTCTGCAAGGTAAACTTTTGCCTTTCCCAGCCCAAGCTTTTGCCATGGAGAATGTGTTTGACTGCACAAGTGCCAATTCCACTGAGTGACCTGGCTCTTGGAAATATGTACCTCCTCCTTCCCCTGCACCTTTCAAGAAGCAAAATACCTTGGAAATATCTGCAAGGCCATCATGTACACTAACAAGCTTTGTAACAGAAACAACAGGATCTTCCTGACATCCAAAGATCCTACAGCTCCCATGTGCAAAGCGGGTGGGAGAGAGCAATAGCCCACAGTGCTCATACCAGCAGTGAGGGACCTCTGCAATATCCTCACTTGGGGCAGCAGTCCATGACAGGGCTGTTCTCTTACCATGCCAAAGTCCACACCATTGGCAATAGTGTGTCTCCGGTGTTCTGCACGTCCCCTCTGATGTCTCCGAACGTCCCCAGGGCCTGCATGGCCACCATCTCCTTGGGACTGCCCAGCAGACTTAACATCAATACCTGTAACAGAAGAAAGCATAAGGGCACCAACTGCTTGCAAAAGAAACCTCTCCACTGTCCCTCCATGGGGCTATCTGAAATGCACTCCTGCAAGCTGGCCAGGCAGGGAGCAGCTAAGCAAGCACCAGCCATATCATCTGCTAAAAATCTTTGTACAGGCAAGACAGACCTCAGTAATACCTCACTTGGTTGTGCCAGGATGCAAGTGCCCTCTGTGGTCATCTTCTGAATAAAGCAGGCAGCCTCCAGGCAGCGCTGCTTCAGTCTTAGCACAACCAAACCACCAGCGACACCGCCTGCCCTGCCTCTGTCCTCACAGAACCCCTGGCTCCCATTCAGGCAGCACAGGCTCTGCGGGGCACTCATCTCCTCCCGAAGGCAGTTGTTTGGTGATGGGCTCAGCCACACAGGTGCTCCCACAGCCTACTTGCACCAGCAGCAGCAGCCTGGCAGCACCAGAGAGCATCAGGAGTCAGCTCCATCTCCAGACACGTGGCAACTCTCACAAGCAGCTTGCTCTGGAGGTGGCCACAAAGAGCAGACCAGCTCTTTCCAGAGCAAACTCTTTCCTTCCCCACCCATATATGTGTTTGTTATCAACCAGAAGCCCCATGCCTATGGTCTCAACACACAGAAAATCAGCTCTGGGGTTTCCAAAATTTTATTAAAACCTCAACATCCTATTTATCAAAAGGCTGATCTACTACAAACACATGACACTGGTCCAAATCCACACGTAACCTATTTCTGCAGATTAAGTTCAGGCTGGCAGGTTTTGAGCAGGATCAGAAGCCTCCTGTCAGCACTGGATGACTGTGTGCAGAAGCAGGTACGGGCTGAGCACCTGCAGCTGCCCAAGTCAGCACATCCCCTGTGCTGCACGCCCTGCCAGAAAGGCAGCCCTGCAGCCATGTCCAAGCCAGCTCAGCTCTGTGTTTTTGGACATGCTGTCAGAGCACCACCCTGCTGCTGAGCACCACGGCGCCAAGGCACCCAGTGGTGCAGCCAGCACCCTCTGCTAACATGCCTGGGCAGCAGGCGTGCTTCACTCCCTTCTTGCTCCAGGCCCCTGCCAAGTGTCCAGCAGAGCCTGCCTTGTGCTCATCCTCTCGCTCCTGCAGCTCCCTCTGGTCTGTGGTCACAGCTTCTGCTTTCCTGAAGAGTTTCTTAGCCTGAATTTCAAACAAGAACCAGAAAATAGTAGTAGGGAGGCAGGCAAGGGAAAGCAGGCAGCAAGGCAGCTGCAGGACACATCTCCCTGGGACTGCTGCCCACATATTTTCCAGGCACCCCCACCCATTGCAATCCTCTCCTCTGACCGGCCAGGCACACGCAGTGTGCTCTGCAGTGCGGGCAGACAGGAGGGACAGAAGCACTGAACAGGGTGTGAGGCCTGCCCAGCTCTCAGCAGGGCACACAGATGCAAAGGGCACAGGAGAAGCGAGCCGAGGCTGCAGGAGTCACCTATCACCCAGAAGATGAGCAACAGGAGTGGAAGTGGGCTCACAGCAGCAGCCAGCAACACCCCAGCAGTGGTGCAGCTGCATGCTCACCTCACTTAAACCATTACTGTCCTACTTTGGAAAGGTACCAGAGTGACACACAAGAAATCCTGCTGCTGATACACCACAGCATCCCACTTTTCTTGCCATCAAGGGCTCCAGCACAGATAGGTCTCTGGCATCTCTCTTAACACAAAGTCTGATATTACTTATCTGTTTTGCCAGATGCCTTGGTTTCAGACACCTATATCTACCTGGGAGGAACAGCTAAGCCAGTACAACTAGCACAACTGAGCACATGTTCTCCTGAACCTGCAGCACAACCTGAATGGGAAGTGGAAGGATAGTCTCAAAACCAACTCATTTCAATAAGTGGAATGCCAAAGCAAAGCCAGGAAAAAACTGTTTGAAGAGCTGCAGGATGGAAAAAAAATATGTTAAAACTTTTTGTTGTTGTTTGCTGAAGCACCACTACTGAGCCTGTTTAGTATGATAAAAGTACAGAGCCCAGATTCGGTGTCAACCTCTGATAAGAAAGTGCTCCCTGGTCAAAGAGCGGAGCTCCACACACCTGAGTTATCGGTGTAGTGGTAAAACTGAACCCTTGCTAACAACCTGGGACTGGCTCCCCTTGGGCACAGGGCCACCTCCCGGTGGGGACCCCTGCTGGGCACACACTCAGCCCTCAGCAGACACTGACATCCCAGACACCTGGGAGCTGTTCTACACACTTGGCAGCAGCCTGGGCAACAACTGCTGCCTACAAAACCATCCTGCTCCTTCCTGCTGGTGCCAGGCACCTTCTAGAGCCAGGCCACCCTGGCTGTGCTGGCACCACCCTAGGCACAGCACTGATCATCCACCTTCATTTCCCCCACTCCCAGAAGGAACAAAAGCTTTCCCATTGGAAACCATGGGGGTAAAGACCCCAAACACCGAGACACTTAGACACTGCTGTGAGAGGCAAACTAAGAGCCAGCAGTGGGAAGCTGTCACATGCTTTCAGCCTCACTTTTCCCCCTTGTCCCAGCAAATGCTGGGGGCTCCCAGGTGCTTTGGCTGCACCCACGCTATGGCTGTGACCTGGGTCGGGAAGCAGAGGTGGGCAGCACCCTGCAAAAAGCCCCCTCTCGCAGAAGCACAGACAGGGAGAACTCCCTCAAAGTCTTTGATGACTACAAGCACTGATCACCACCTCCCCACTGTTGGACACAGTCCTCCTGAGAGCCACACCATGCAGCCAGAGCCTTGGAACCACCTTGAGCCCAAACTCTGCAATCTAACTGAGCTGAGGCTTATTGGACCCCCAGCAGCTCCTGACCAACAGCACCAGGCAGGTCTCTCCACGGTCAGCTGAGAGCCAGGTCTTGCTGTGCCAAAGCCTGACTCCTTCCCAGCCAGCTGGATGGAGCACCCAAAGCTCCACTTCATGCTAGGAAAGCCCACTGTGGTAAAAGCATCACTGAGCAGGCACATGGGATTGGGAACTAAAAGAGAGAAAATAACTCAGTTATAACTGTCACTGAGCTGCTGAATCAACCTGGAATTCAGGCTTGTTGCCAGAAAGTTGCCCTGCTTTTAGGGAAGCTGGCAGCAAGGGCTGAGACCTGCAGCCTCAAGACATCAACAAAACACCTGCCTACAATGCAATGATCCTCAGAACCAGCAAGTTATGCTCTGCAGTACTCATCTGCTCAGTCTCAGCTAGTGGAGAGCTTTCAATGTGATGATTATTTATCAAGGAGGATTTTACTTCTCCCCCCAGGTTTTTCCAGATTTAGTCTCCTAATGCTTAAAGAAAAAAAAAAGCCAACAAAAAAACCCAGCCTGCTTAATAATATTCCCCTGGAAGAAGCTCCTGTGATTCACCTGGAGGCAAAATGGAAAGCAGGGAATCTCTGGGACATTTAACATTTCTTCTCCACCCTGCAGAAGGGACTGGGAAGGAAAGGGTGGGAAAGGGAAGGCAAACCAGCTTGGGCACCTTTCTGAGGTAAAGGAAGGCATTGTGCTCAAGCGTTGAAACAGCAAAACACCAAGTTCTCACACAGAGCTCCGTGTCAGGAGATCTCAAAGCACTGCACAGGAGCAGCCAGGAGGTTCTGTATTCTTTATGGCATTTCCTTCTTACTAGCAGCGTGTCAAGAGGTCAGTGAAGGAGTCTTCCCAGTGGAGGGGGGAGGTGCCAGGAGCAGTGCTCTCCCTCTCCTGACTTTGTCACCCCCAGAATCCCATGGTCTGTCAAACTGAACCATTGTCGAGCTATCAAGGAACACGCACTGTCCTTATATGCTTCTACTCTCCGTCTGTCCAGCTGGCTGAATGGCTCACACCAAAGCCTCCCAGCCACCGTGCTAAGGCAATGAAGGAGGCGGATACCCTGCGGTGGGTTCCACGCCAGCCTGCAGCCACACAGGACAGACGGCATGACCTTCTGACAGCTCTCTGAGCCATAGCAGGAGCAGATTGGCACAGAGGTCTCGGATCCTGGGGAAGGGCCCGGGGGCAGTGCTGAGTGCTGCTGGACTCTGGCACTGACCGGCAGCAGCTCACTTCTCCATCACAGCGCCCAGCAGCGCCTGCTGAGGATCGGATCCACCCCACGGGGAGGTCACCTACAGACTCGGTGCCAGAGGACAACTCCGGACATGTTACTGCAAAGCCCTTAATTCTTCTTGTCACCACTATAAACAGACAAGCACCCACACGAGAAGTGCAAAGGGAAGAAGGAGCCTGGGAAAAGAGCAGGATTTGCAAACAGCTCGCTCTCCATTCCGGTTTATCTGGAGCTTGAAACAAAGCCCACGGAAGCCAAAATAAAAAGCAGCGGCGACTCCTCAGAGTTCCACACCAGGCCCGGGGGAAGAATTTGCCGTTGTTTTAAATGCCAAAGAAAGAACAGGTCGGTGCCGCCTGGGAACCGGCCCGCCCGCCCCGCCGCTCCGGCAGCCCGACCGGTGGTCCGTCCCGCCCCGCCCCGCTCACCTCGGCCGCGCGGCTGCCCCTGGCCTGGCTCCGGCTCGCGGTGTCCGCCGCTCTGCCCGCGCCGCTCCTCGTTGCCGTGCGGGCTCGGCAGCTTCTCCAGGCTCCGCGAGGCGGTGACGGCGGGGCCGCGGCCCCGCTCCTTGTCCCGCTCCTTGTCCCGCGGCTCCCCGCGCCCCGGTGCTCTGCCCTTACCCGGGACTCCGCCGTCGGCGCCGGGCAGCGCGGCGCGCAGCCCCAGGACGAAGCGCTCGAAGGTGAGATACCCGCTGGGCGGCGCCGCCCGCCGCAGCCCGTCCAACACGCCGGAGGGCAGCTCGCGGGCCTCCGCGCCCTGCCAGCGGGACTCGATCTCCCGGAGGTGCACGTACCCCCGCCGCCGGTCGTCCAGGATATCGAAGAGGGTGCGCAGGCTCTGCAGGAAGGCCCGGGGCAGCCCCTCGGTGCCGGCGGGGAGCGGCCCCGCGGGGGACGGACGGGAGCCGCGCTCCGGGGCCATCGCAGCCGCCGCCGCGGCCCCGAGAGTTGCCGCCGCCCGGCAGTGCCGCGCCCCGCCCCGCCCCGGCAGCGCGCTCCCATTGGCTGGCGGCGGGCGGCGCCGCGGGCTCATTGGTCGCGGGCGCGGCCGCCGGTTTGAGTTTCCGCGCGGCACGAGGCGGCCCGCGCTGGCCCCGCCCCTCCCCGCGCTCCGCCGTGCCCGCGGGGTCGGCCGTCGGTGCCCCGAGCTGGGAGGGATCACCGAGCCCAACCCGGCCCCGCGCGGCACCACGCATCCCTGTGGTCGGAGCGGCGTCCCGGCGTTCCCTGAGCTCCGGCAGCTCGGGGCCGTGCCCGCTGCCCTGGGAGCTGTGCCGTGCCCGGCCCCATGGGGCACAGCCGTTCCCCGGCCCCGCCTGGCAGCTCCGTGCCGTTCCTTCGGGCCGTGCCGCTGTCACCAGAGAGCAGAGATCGGCGCTGCCCCTCCCTGTGAGGAGTTTCGGGCCATGAGGAGCTGCAGGCCGACAGGAGGGCTTCCCTGAGTCCTCTGGGCCGTACAAACCAAGGGACCGCAGCCATTGCTCACACACACCACCCTCAGACCCTTCCCCATCTTCATAGCCCTCTTCAGGGTGTTCTGGAAGTCCTTCCCTGCTTTTCCATGCCCTGGGAGCAGCCTCCCCACGGGGCTCACCCTTCCTGCTCCCATCACATCCCATGGCTGCTGACTCCATGCTGGGTGGTGTAAGGACCCTAAGGAATGGTTTGGTGACCTCTGCCTGCAGTCATCCCCAGCAGGAGGGAGTCCCATAAAGAGCAATGCTGGCTTGAGCAGCGCTATTATTTTAACAGGCACAAATCCTCTTTTCTCACAGCACAGGCCTTCACCTGCTGCTCCCGTTGCTGTAAATCTGCTTATTGCCCAGCAGAACTAGGACTCTGCTACCTGTGCTCAAACTCCATTTTTCTTCTGCTTCTTACAGTGACAGATTCTGACAGTGACAGGGCTGTGTGCCTGCTGGGCTTTGCACTTTTCTGAAGCCGAGATGCCCACCCATCTGAACAGGTGTAGGGATGCACAGCCTTAGCGAGGTTGGTGAGTGTACATTCTTCTCAGCTCCCTGCCTGGAATGTCTGCCTCTTCCACATCAAAGACACTGTAACCTTGTGGGAATGAAAGGTGTCTCTTTAGAAGCAGGGAGACCTGAAGACCTTGCATTTCCAGCCAATCCAGAGCAAATTAGGTTAGTGAACAGGCATAAAACATTCAGCATGTGAGACAACTCTCATTGTCAGTTTTGCAAAAGCTGGTGAGAAGTTGTGTTTCAGTCCAGCTTTCTCAGCTTGGCAGCATCCCCAAAGGAGTGAGAAGCACTGCTTTTTGCAGAAGGCACAGAGAAGTGCCACATGCCTCATGCCCCCAGGGGCACAGTGCTTGCAGCAGGAACTGAGTGTGTGCCCCAGGGGCTCTGGGCAATGCAGCAGCACTGACCACCATCCAGCAAAACCTTGCTGAGAGATGAGGAGCCCAAAGCTACCACAGCTACAGAAAAAGGTGGAGAAAGGTGCTGGCGTTGATAAATGTGGGAGAAACAAGATCTGGGCCCTCTTTTTGCGAACTTAGTATGAATCAGCAATGTGAAGAGAAAGAGTTTCTCTAATGTAACCTGAAATTTGCTATGTCAGTTAGGGCATGTTAGCCCTAATAAAAGATGTTGTCCTTCTCTGCAAGATCCCTCTGCCAGACAGTGCACTGCAACAAAGCACAGTTGGAGCACCACTGCCTCTATTCCCCCCCCCCCCATAGGCACAGTGACCACCTGGGGCACCCTGGCAGCCTCAGGGGGGCACCTGCAGGGACCCTCATCCAATGTTTGTGCTGCTGAGAGTCATAGATTGAGTGCCCTGGAGCGCAGGGACGGCTCATGTGGGCACAGGAACGTGTTTGGGAGCTGTTTTGCTGGCAGCACAAGGCAGCAGAGCACTGTCAGGAGCAAGCGGGGCATCAGTACCTGGGAGAATCCAGAGAGCACTTATTCACCCTGCATTCAGAAAAGGCGATTAGTGACTGCAGGTGCTTGTATTGTGAGGCTGCCTGTGTCACAGACACCTCCTGTGCCATTTGTCAGAGTGGCTCTGAGTTTGTTTGAAAGGAAGGAGGGGGTAGAGATTTGGCCCTCATGGTTTCCTATCAAGGTGGCCTTTGCTGTTCTCCCATCGCTGCCAGCTTCCCTGCTGAGGGCAGACATGTCTGCTACTTTCAGCAGCTGTGTCCTGCTGGCTTCTCAGCCTATTCTCTAGAAACTCTTCTAGATAGAGTTTCTCAGCCCTGTGAGGCTGCCAGGTGAACCACCACAGCCTCTGGAGACCATTGCCAGTCCTTTCTCTACCAGCAGCCTGCTGGCTCTGCTCTCCACACCACAGCCAGGCTGTTCAGCCAGATTTTTAAATCATTTCTTTTCATCAATTTTTTTGTGCCTGCTTACTTGTTTTGCAATCTCTGTCTGGCTTGGCCATGTTGCATGGAAACTATTCACTGTTGTGGAGCATACAGGAAGAAGTCTCTGGTGCATCACCAAGGGCACACTGCTCAGGTCTGCTAACAGCAGGAGGTGAGGCCGTGTGCCTCTGTAGGGCTTTAAGCCTCACACTGTGCAGCAAAGTCGAGGTATTTCAAACTGACCCAAACTGTAGCATTTTGAATTTTGAATGACCTTAATGACCCTTGTCCAATTTGCCTGCCTGCCAAGTCTTAGTAGGAAAATATCAGAAACTATTCTTGGCACTGACTGTATATTGGGGTACAGGTGAAATTCTCTCTTCCGTGTGGAATTTTTGCCCTGGCAACAAGAAGCTGAGGCCTGAATGCTCACTGCAGCCTTGCTGTGTTTTCTATATCAAGGTGACCTCAGGAGACTCACAGAATGTTCATGTTTTCCTCCTCAGAGTGGCAGGGTGAACGAAGGGAAGCAGATTTGGAAAATTCTTGGAAAGGACTTTGTATGTTCTATGTCTGTTTGGTTGGTTTGGTGGGTTTTTTTCCCCCTTCTCTCAGCAAATAGTTTATTTTAGGACCAGCCAAGTTTCTTTTCGTTGACAGAGACATCTTTCTTTCATTTTTTATTTATTCTTAAGTTTTAGTATGAACAACTTAGTTACTCAGTTCTCCTTCTTTCAAGGTACTGGAAAGCACCTTCTGGTGGGGGGAGCTGCCATCCCCAGCACTGCCACATCCAAAAAATGCCCTGGAACTGTTGGTTGGTTAAAACCACACCATGAGCTGTGCCAACAGCAGCCTGGCTCTGGGTCTCTCTGTTGCTGAAGTATGAAGCACGGTTTGTGTTAATACCTTCTCCCAGACCTGAAGCTGCAGGGAATAGCTCCCAGTGTGTCCCAGGCTGTCAGTCCAGCACTCCAGGAGCTCAGAAATGCAGCTGTGCGGCCTGAGGGAAGCAGTAGACCTTTTCTTGTGGAGGGCTGCCTTGTTTGCTCTCCTCAGCTTTCAGATGCCACCCTGCTTCCACCTTGCTGCATGCTGGGCCTCTCGACGACGTGCTCTGTTTGCTTAGGAGGAGGGCAGGCACTTCCCATAACGCTGCTTTTCTTTCCACCAGACTGTTTTTCCCTCTGAACAGGAAGTCAGATGGTGGGCTGGCGCCTACTTGCTGTCACAAGGGCTGGAGGGGGCTGGGGTGGGGGCTGGGGTGGGTGTCTGAGGGGCAGAGGGATCTGTATCCTCATCTGCAGCACGGCTAGGTCAGCAGAACAGGCACTTTATGGGGCTGGGAATCAGGGCAGGAGCCAGGAACGTAACATGTCCCCAGGCGGTGTGTCATGTTGAAGTGTGGACACCAAGACAGGCGCCAAGCTAACCAGGCTCTGTTACCTGGTGCTGCTACGCTTCAGCAAATGGCAGCCATTCCATTTAGCAGGCACAGAAGCAGCTAAGGGCATTGTGTAGCAAAAGTCATCCCGCAGACATCAGCTACCTGACGGTTGCTCAGGGGACAACTATAAAATCGCTTTTCTCTGCAGCACACATCAGTGGATTCTTACCTATTGAAGCAGAGTCCTAAAACGAAGGAGCTCTGTCATTTCCCAGGTAAGATATCCTGAGATATCCTGCCCCAGCCCACTGCTGGCACCACACAGAGCAGTGTTTGCCTTCTCTCTCCTTTAGAGGTTTTGGTTTCTGATGATGTTTCACACATACGTTTGCATTTTGTTTGTCCCATACTTACCTGCATCCTGCTTTCTCAGGTTGTCCTGTCTGATATGCCCGATCCAACCTAAGATTCTATTTTTATCACCTTACAGAGGAAAATTTCTACCCACATGAGTGCAATGGATTGTGGAATCAGGGGGGACACGCTGCAGGAGGACAAAGCTGCTCTGGGAGAGCTGAGATAGCAGAGAAGCATGCTGCATTCCTTCACACCTGTGCAGCAGGGGCTGCTCCACTGGAAAGAGGCAGGGCAGGAGGGGCAGAGGAGTTGCCCTCTATGTTAACAGGCACGTGGAGTGCAAAGAGCTGCTTCTTAGAAACTTCCACAATCGATTGAGATTCTATGGGTGAAAAGATTCTAAGGTTGAGAGTCTATGGGTGAAAATCAGGGACAGGACCAATACAGGACAGCTGGTGGCCAGGTCTACCAAAGGCCAGCTGAGCAGGGCAGCCCATGGCCGAGGCCTTCTTGCTACAGCTGCAAGAAGTGCTGTGCCTGCAGGCTGTCATCTAGATGGGGGATTTTAACCACCCAGATATCTGCTGGGAAAGCAGCATAGCAAACTGAAAGACCCCTGGAATGTGTTTGAGAACATCCTGGTGCAGGTACTAGACAAACCAAGCAGAAGGAAAGCATTTGTCGAGCTGGAGCACATTAAAGAGATTGAGATCGGAGGTACTCTGGGCTGTAGTGAGTCAAGTTTGTGATTTTGAGAAGGATGGACCTGGCAAAAAGCAAAGTCAGGATCCTGAACCTGGGGAGAGTAAATTCCTGTTTAAGGAATTCCTCAGTGAAATCCCCTGGAAAGCTGTCCTTGGAGACAAAGGAGTGAAGCAAAGCCAGCTATTCTTCAAGGAAGAGTTCTTAAAATCTTTCTGAGCACACAAGAGCTAGTTGTCCCCCGGTACAAGAAAACAAGCAGGGGAGGCAGAAATCCAGCATGGCCAGCAAGGATGTGCTGGTCAGATTGAGAGATAAGGACACGTACAGGCAGTGAAAGCAAGGACGTGTCACCTGGGTAAAACACAGTGATGCTGTCTGGACATGCACAGATGGGAACAGGAATGCCAAGGTGCAGATGGAATTGCACTTGGTGAGGGATGTTAAACTCAACAAGAAGGAATTCTATACGTACATAGGTCAGAAAAGACAGGCCAAAGAGTTCCTCTGATAGATGGGAAAGGAGAACTGACTACAACAGACATGGAGTGGGAACTGGCAGCCAGGATTCTTGTATTTCTCACATCCCTGAACATCACATTCCCAAACCTCTGGGTGGGAAATGGGGAGCAAATTCCCCCACACTGTAAGGGCAGAGCAAGTCCCAGACTGACTCATGAGAATGAACGTATACATGTCTGGATGACATGCATCCCGGGGCTGATGCTGAGCCGCTCTCCATTGTATTAGAAAAGTCATGGCTGTCAGGTGAAGTCGCCAGGGACAGGAAAAAGGGAAACATCACCCCCATTTTTAAGAAAGTGAAAAAAGACGCCGTGCGCCGTGCGCCGTGCTGAAATAATGCCGAGAGCTTGCTGCTTCGTGTGCAAATGCAAGAAGGGGTGTCATCCTCGTCAGTTTCCCGAGCACGAAGTTCCCAGCTCCTCCGGTATCCTCGGCGGATGCACGTGAACAGCCAAACGCCTTTCACTGCAACAGGCGCAGAGCCGACAGTCGCGTGCCCCGCAGGGCCGGGCGGGAGGCGCGGGGAGGGAGGGGAGGAAGAGGGAGAGGGAGAGGAAGAGGGAGACGAAGAGGGAGACGAAGGGCTGAGCAGGGGCAGGCGGCCGCCCCGCCCCGGCGCGCCGCCTCCCGGGACCGCCGCGGCCGCTCGGCAGCGCTGCGAGGATGGAGCCGCCCGAGGAGGTGCGGGCGCGGCTGGAGCGGGCCGGGCAGGGCCACCTGCTGCGCTTCTGGGCCGAGCTGGACCCAGCGCAGCGCACGGAGCTGCTGGCCGCGCTGCCGCCCGGGCTGGGCGAGCACTGCCGGCTGGCGGCGGCCTGCGCCCGGCAGCGGGAGAACTTGGAGCGCCTGGACGGCCGCGTGGAGCCGCTGCCCGCCGCGCTCCTGGGCAGCGCCCGGCACTGCGGCCCCGCGGCGCTGCGGCGCTGGGAGGACGAAGGTGAGCGGGCTGGGGGGGATCGCCGCCGGAGGAGCGGGCGCGGGGATGGGAGCGGCCGCAGGCCGTGCTGCTCGGCCCGGCAAGAAGCGTTGTGTCTAAAACCGCTGGGTTTTGGTGAGGCTGCGGAGGCCGCAGCTGTTGCTGAGGTTGGCAGGAAGGTGCTGTGCTGTCAGGGCAGACTCACGAGCACAGCGCTTGCACAACGGAATGCCACAAATAGAGAACGCTGTCCGCCCGCGAGCCGCCCCGTGCTGCCCGTGCGCTGCCATCTTCGGCGCTGCTCGAGGCTGCGGTGCCCCCATGGCTCCCGGCCGAGTCCCGGGTCAGCGCTGCGCCCAGCGGGATCCCCGCGGCAGAGCGGCGTCACGTCGGGGCGGCGGCCATCGGCCGGTGTGACCTCTGCAGGCGTGGTGACTGTCACAGCGTGTGGTGTCGATCAGCAGGAGGGGAGGATGTCGGCGAGGCAGGCAGCGCGGTGACCGCTGTGTTGGTATGGGGACTCGCTGTGCCCAAATGGCCGGTCGTGTCCCCAGCTCAGGACAAGGGCTGCCGAGGCACTTGGGACCGACATATTTAACTTATGCTTCAAACAATTAAATGCAGCAGCACAGACTGGAGAGGCTCGAGGTTGGCAGGATGTGGAACGGCGCTGTTTACAAAAATATAGACTGTGAGCCTTGCTGCTGGGTCCAGAGCTGCAGCAGAGCACACACTGCCTCATAGGCTGCAGCTGTGCTGAGGGCAGTGCAGCGTTAGCACAGGGCCTCTGTCCTGGGAGGAAGATGAGATTAGAGAGTAGAGTAGAGAAGTGCTGACGTGGCAGGTAGTGTAGGAGACAGGAAAGTGTCGATGAGAGGAGGTGCAGGACAGCTGCAGGACAGCTCTGCTCTTCGTGTCCTCTGACTTCACATGTGTGGCAGTTCATGCGTCACCCCTGGTGGCTGCTGAGCCTGGGGTAGGCCTGGCCAGCGGATGGGCAGCTTCACCTGAGGCACAGAGACTCGTGTGCCTGGCCAGGCCGATCCAGCCAGCCTGCCTGCATCCCTCTGTTGAGCTGCTGTGCACTGCATGGCTTGCCAAGCCACTGTTTTTGGAGCTGGCAGCTTTCCCTGGTCACCTCCTGGGACCGTGAAAGGCTGGGCTGATGGGAGAGGTGATGTTCAGACCTGGGCTCTGTGCAGTGGGGTGCTGTGTTTCTTCCTCCCCATCCTGTGTGTATTACACATCTTGTGCTTTTTTTTTTTTTGAGAGTACGTCCTGTTTCTTCTCAAAGCCATATCCCCTTTTTCTTTACAAAATACAGCAGTGCTGTTCGATAAGTAAATAGATGCAAAATTGAAAGAAAACAAGAAAGACAGCTGTGGCCAAAGGAGTATCCTGAAGTGTGGCAACCATCTGCACAGTCCCGACCCACAACAGCCAGTGAAGACATGGGGTCATGTGGGCAGAGGAGTAAAAATTTCCAAACGGAAACAAAAATGCAGAAATAGAAGTGATGAGGTTCCAGAGCAGAAGAGCTTTTTTGATGCGTCAGACTCCCCAGATGGGGCTGAGTGGTGATGAGGCAGCTGCCCTGCTGCTGGGGCAGAGTTTTTTGGGGTCCAGCATCAGTTCTGCCCCGTGTCTGGGCTGGCTCCTGGTTAGTGGTCACAGGCATTTGTGCCCAGCCAGGTTATCCAGCGGTGGTGCTGACATGTCCCACTGGGCCTTTCTGCACAGAGCCTTCCTGATCTGAGTGGAGTGGCAGCAGTGGGCCCATAGCAGCCACGCAGGAGTGGCAAGGAGGACTGGGAGCAGACCTGTGAGGATCATGCTTGCTGCTTCAGGCTTGAGCATGTCAAATTGAGGAGCAATGAATTTTAGAGGTGGATTGATCTAGGTCAGATCTGCACAGTTAATTTAACTGCTTTACTAAACTAGAAGCTAGACCCTTTGTCTTCAGCTCCAGGCCAGAGAGGGGCTGGCCCACTGCTGACACTGACTTGTGCCAGTGTCAGCAGTGAGCAAGGCAAAGAGTGAGGCTGGCCTTCCTTGCTGCAGTTCTCACTGGTGGGAATTTGGAAGGCCCCATGTGACAGGGGCTGACTGCCAGCACCCCACAAAAGTCATTGACCCTAGAATCCAGATTGCCCTGATCCCTATCTAGCCTGCAGGCCACTTAGGATTTCCACCAGGAGAGGGGGGATGCTGTTTTTAAATTTCACATTGCACTGCTTTTTATAGTCCAATTTAATCCTTGGAAGTGAAATTTTGTGGTGCTGACCCCCAGCAGTGTTGGCCTGGAGGCTGCTATGCGAGTGTTGCCTTTCCCCAGGGTGTGCTGCAGAGCCCCAGGCAGTGTTCACTGTGGCAGTGAGTGGAGTTGGCACAGGCTTTCCTCCCTCTGTGTGCCCCTGGAAGGACGCAGGCTCCCAAGGTCCTTCCTTTCAAGTGAACCACTGGTGGTGTTGAGCTGGAACATGAGCAGAATGGACCCAGTTCCAGCCAGGCCTTCATTCACAGCTTGCCAGCCGCCTTGACCAGAGACTGCATGTCTCTGATGCAGCCTTTCCCCCAGCGATTGGTGTCACCCCTCAGCTGAACTCACCCATGCTTTGTGAGTGGGCATTCAAACTCCCACCTACAGCAAGCAATATGTCATCTTCAGGTGAAAACCAAACAGTGACAACACTGTTCTCTTGACCTTTCCTATTCCCCCTTTTGTGATTAAAAAGCAATTCTTAGAGGATCCAAGCAATTCAGAAATTATTCTTGAGTACACCAACACCCAAGATATTTTTAAATAGTTAAAAAGATTAAAAAAAAATAATCCCTTATGTCATTGTTTCTGAGACATAAGTCTTAGCACATATAGACTTGCTTTCTGGGTCTTAAATACAAAGATGAAGTGGTCATGCTTTCTAGGCATCATTATGGATGATGACATAAATCAAGCACAGATGCTTTCAGATACCGTCCTTATTTTATTTAGAATCACTGCATCATAGAATTGCAGCACAGATGGATTGGAGGGACCTCACAGCTCCCAGCCCCACCCCTGCCATGGGCTGGCTGCCTCCCAGCTCAGGATGCCCAGGGCCCATCCATGCAGCTCTGGGCAGCAGTGCTGGGCCTCACTGCCCTCTGGGTAAAGAATTTCCCTCTAACATCTAACCTAAATTTCCCTTCTTTTGGTTTAAAATCATTCTCCCCTGTCCTGCCACTATCACGCTGTGTAAAAAGTCGTTCTCCCTGCTGTTCATAAGCTCCCTCTAAGAACTGGAAGGCTGCAATGAGGTCTCCCCGCAGCTTTCTCTCCTCCAGTCTGAGCACCCCCAGCTCCTCAGCCCGTCTTTGCAGCAGAGGTGCTGCAGCCCTCTGCGTTCCTCGTGGCCTCCTCTGGCCCCGCTCCAACAGCCCCACGTCTTTCCTGTGCTGGGGCCCCAGGCCTGGACGCAGTACTCCAGATGGGGCCTCACGAGGGCAGAGCAGAGGGGGACAATCCCCTCCCTGCCCGCTGCCAGCCCTCTGTGGGTGCAGCCCAGGGTGCTGCTGGCCTTCCGGGCTGCGAGCGCACACTGCTGCTCGTGTCCAGCTCTTTGTCCACCAGGACCCCCAAGTCCTTCCCTGCAGGGCTGCTCTCAAGGAGATCTTCCCCCAGTTCGTATAAATACCTGGGATTGCCCTGACCCAATGCAGCACCCCACACTCAGCCTTGTTGATCCTCATTAGGTTTACATGGGCCCACCTTTCATGCCTGCCCAGGTCCCTCTGGATGGCATCCCTTCCTTCTGTTGTATCAGCTGCACTCAGCTTTGTGTCGTCTGCAAACTGCAGAGGGTGCACTCAATCCCACTGACTGTGCCCAACTGATAAAGATGATGAAGAGCTCTGATCCCAGTATGGACCCCCAGGGGACACCACTCATCACCAGCCTTCACCTGGACATAGAGCCACTGAACACAACCATCTGGCTGCGGCCATCCAACCCATTCCTTATCCACTGAATAGTCCATCTCTCCAATTTAGAGATAAGAGATCCCTGCCCTCAGACTAATGTGTTCACTTGGAGTACACAGAAGCCATGTGCCCCATGTGGGACAGAGGCTGTGAGCACACACTGAGGCTGCTCTGTGACTTGGTGTATGTCCCAGGGAGGCAGCAGTTTAGCACAGCTGATGCAGCTGTGAATGAGCCAGGCACTTCTTGTATCCAGAGAAGCAAGTCTCCGGAGCCACCTGTGTGGTGATGTAGGTATGCACTGTTTGCTGTGAAGGTTTTATACTGCAGTTCTGTGGCACTTGTGAAGTCATGGCTGACTCTGTCCTGCTGCTGCTCTGAGCATTGCTTGGTCTCTGGGCCCACAACCATCTGCTGTTGGGTTTTTAATGTGGTTGGCTGTCACTGGAAAGTAATTCATTCTGTGCAGTCCTTGAGCACGGGTGTGACAACAAGCCTGCTCTTGTCAGTGGTAATGGCTGAGGGCTGTTCTTTGCTCAGACACCACTATTTATCTTGCTTTATGAGAGGCTTATCATTTCTGTGGAGATGCAGAATCAAGTTTGTACAGGGATAAATTGACAATACAAGAGACTTCTGTTTGCAAAGTGGCAGCCAGCTGTGCTGGTTGAGCTCAACAGAACCGTAATGGTTGTTTTCCCTTTTCCTGGGATACAGCGCTGGGAGACAACAGCAGGATGTGTGCAGCTGCGTTTCACTCACAGTACACCCACTGCTTCAGTTACAGGGGTCACTTTCCATTCCTTGCCACCACTGTGACCCATACTGAGCAGAGTTTAGCTTTGGTTTCGAACCACAGCTGGTAATTTTCTCATCCCTGCCAACCCCTGAACTGGTGTTTAACTGCTTGTCCCTCCATCCTTGTGGGTTGGTGTGTAGGTTTCCTGCTACAGCAGGGGCTGTGTGAGGCACCTGTCCAGCAGCCAATGCAAACAGTGTGCCAAGCACTCAGCAGCAGCTGGTAGCAAACCAGTGACATAGCTAATACCTGAGAGCTGCTGCTCTGTGCTTTGTTACATCTTTTGCAGTAGGGAGTTCAGTAAAGGTGCAGTGGAGCCATTAATTGTTTGGACTTTGTTATGTACATTTGTGCTTCTTTTGCTTTCATGGCTGCTACAGAACTCAGATTTCGGAGCTTTGCTGTAGTAGAGCTACATGTTTCAGTGTACAGCTCTCACAGTACTATTGTCTGTGCCTTTTTAATTTTAACTTTAACCCATTCAGGCTTTCCTGCCAAGAACCTTCCGAAAATTTGAAACCCCCAAGCCCAAGATTTCCCCCTAGAAAGTTCCCCCTAGAAATCCCACTTGAAGTCAGAGGTTGGGCTACAGGTCTCTAGAGGTCCCTTCCGACCAAAGTTTTGTGATCCTATGAATTTGAAGTGATGTTTGCAGCAGTGATGGCAGTGCTGTGTAATTGGCTTCCTGCAGGCTGCCTGACCCAGCATGGTGACCTACGGGGAGACAGAATATGGAGGCAGAAACATGGTCTTACCACTGCAGTGAGAGTCAGCAGTATTACTACTGTGACAGGGGAAACTTACATCTGTGTTAGTGCTGAAAGCTAGATTTTTAAACAAAATTAAAACCAGGACAGGTTTTACAGCAGCAGCTGGTATTTTTCCTTCTTACTGCTCATTTAAACAGATGATTATTTAAAGGTGGGCATAAAAACTGTGACTCTGATTTCTTACTAAAGCAGTGTTTTTGGTCCCTGTGTCTTTTAATCCGAGTGTTGAAAGACATCCCTGTTTTGAACAGGACTGCCCCAACCCTAGGGCAGCTCAGCAGGGCTTTGTCTGAGTCTTGCCCCCACTTCTCCGCATGTCTTTTCCACGGATGCACCACTTTCCCAGTAAATCATTTCTAATGTCCAGTTTGAACATGCTGAGCTGCACTCAAAGCTGTTTCCTGTTGTTACACCATCTGCTGCTTCAGATATGGGAATGTGTATCAGAGAGGTGATTTGTTTTAATATGGCATACAACACCATTTTGCTCTCTGAACTACCAGCAGTTGGCATGGAACAGCTTCTGGCTGTTCCCTGAGCTCTGTAGAAAGGCTCAGGGGAAGGGCACAGGATGTGGACTGTCTTTGTGATTCTCATGTTGTCTTTGGCTTCTTTCTCCTGTTCAAGGTTTGCAGCAGATCTCACAGAACAAAGTGGCAGTGCTGCTGCTGGCTGGAGGACAAGGAACCCGCCTGGGAGTGAGCTACCCCAAGGGCATGTACAACGTGGGACTGCCCAGTGGCAAAACCTTGTATCAGATCCAAGCAGAAAGAATCCGCAAAGTGGAGCAGCTCGCTGGCCAGAGGCACCACTGCAAGTGCACTGTCCCCTGGTAGGTGGGCTGAAGCCACAGACCTGCTGTATGGGGGTCTTTGCTTTGCAGTCTTGCCTGTCTTGTCTTCTAGAATTGCCTTGACAGGTGCCATGCAGAGACATGCCAGGGGAGAGCTTTGGCAGCATGTGTGATCCCAGCAGCTAGAAGAGATGCTTGAGGTGAGCAGTGACACACCATCAGTGCCTGCAGCGAGCACTGCCCTGGAGTCACTGACCACTGTACTGTGTCTGTTTCAAGCACAGACCTTACAATGCAGTCAACAGCACTTTTCAGTGCCTGTTTCAGATCATTTGTGAGAGATTTGTACGTTTGTGCTGTACTTTCTCAGGTTCCTCTCTGGAGGGAGAAATCACACCATACTGAGAAACTGTGTGTGTATCTTCAGGCAAATATAAAACTCTTCTCTTCCTCAATAGTAAATCCTTGCCGTGCTCCATTTTTAGGCCGCCTCCTGCTGTTGTTGTTTGCAGCTGTCTGCCCATTGCTCCTGGCTGCCCATTGCTGTCAAAAGTCTCCAGGCTTCCACAGAGCCTAGTTCTGCAAGGTGCAGAACGTCAGTTCCCCCTGAGGTCGGGTGGGTGAGAGTGAGAAAGGCACTGCTGTGTGGCTCTGGGAATGTTTTCTGCTGGGTGCTCACCCTTAGCTTGTAGAGAGATGCCATTACAAAATCCCTGCCTGGTCTGAGGCAAGGTGTGGGAAGAATGAAGGAGCGTGTGTGTCTCAGGTCTTCAGGACGACACATTGTTTTACAAGTAGGAATCTGAAGGTGATTCAACTCCAGATTCTATGTTTCTTTCTAAAGCTACATATACATGACCCGAATTGCAAATGTATCCATCCCTGATGTTGTTGGAAGCCATCAGCAACACCTGCTGATAATGTTTACAGTTTATTTCCCTTGGGTTGAAGAGGCAGCTGGCTGCTGCAGTACCCGGAGGACAGTATCTACTGTGCTGCAAATATGTAAATCAGTGTGTATGAGGCTCTCAGTGCAGACTATGGATATTCTGTTGTGCTGGCAGAGGACCTACATACACCTACTTGAAGGGCTTGACAGGTATGTGATGCTCTCTGCTCTGCATTGGTGCAGCCTCACCTGGAGCACTGTGTGCAGGGTTGAGTGCCACAGCATAAAGGCATAAAACTACTGGCGGGTTACAAAGATGGGAGAGGGTCTGGAAGGGAAGGTGTATGAGGAGCAGCTGAGGTCCCTTGGTTTTGATTTGAAACTGAAGTGAATGAAACTTTTGTGCCATTCTTTGCACTGTTTTGGAGCTGACTTGTATTTGCAGATGTTATGCATATTTAGGGAAGTGCTTTTGGGTGGAGCTAAGCCTGTGTTAGGATTGTTCTTGAGTCCTTGCACCACCTTCCTGCAGGATGGGTTGTGGAGCAGCAGCATGTAACTGAGCAGCAGAACTCAAGATACTCTGCTGTCTCTCATCTAACATCCTAAGGTTTTCTCCCTTCCATGTCCCACCTGTAGTTTTTTCTTTTTCTTGTTCCTTTCTATGCACCTGCTCCTATCCAGGTACATCATGACAAGTGAGTTCACGCTGGGGCCAACAGAGGAGTTCTTTGTAAAACACAGCTACTTCAACCTGGATAAATCCAATGTAATCATGTTTGAACAGAGGATGCTGCCAGCTGTCACCTTTGATGGGAAGGCCATCTTGGAGGAGAAGGGGAAAATTGCAATGGCTCCAGGTACTTTGCTGTTTGCCCTTATTTGGTGCAGTAGCCTGTGTTGAAAATTAGTGTTAGCCATCCTTGGCACACAGGAGCAGCCTTGGGAGGTCAGTGTCAATGCCTCTAGTTAGCATGGGAGAGTTCTGTTAGATGTTTTGGGATGGTAATCAAGAATGTAGCAACCTCTGTTTAAGTTCTTGCTGGAGTCTTGTCCACATTACATGGTTTTAAATCAAAGTTTGGGAATATTGGCAGGATTAGGAAGAGTGGGATTGCTGTGGTTTTGGACCAGCCTGCATGCGCAGGGCTGTGTGTATACTCAAGGGAAGAGGCCCCAGGATGCAGTCCCTGGGATGCTGCCTCACAGGATGAAGCTGTCAGTAGAGCCGCTCCATTCCCCTCACCAGCTCGGAGCTGCTGGCTGCTCAGAAGTGATTCTGTCAGGCTGTGGAGAAAACCCACCTGTCTGGAGGCTCCCTTTCAGGGCTGATAGTGAGAAATGGGGGAATAAAACAGCAGGCAGCAAGAAGACAAACTCCTTCCAAAATTATTGAAATGTTTCATGAAAAGTTCTCCTCTTCTCTGGACCTGGACATGGCAAGAGACTCGGTGAGGGCAGTCCTTCTGGGGCTGTGTTGCAGTACTGTGACTTTTGTTGCTGCAGAATGGTTCTTCAGAGTGGACAGGAGTGTTAAAGGGGTGGCCGTGAAAGGATGATCTGTGATGAACAAATGTGCAAATGGAGTTCCAGCCTTTAAAAGGGCACTGGGTAGTTGTGGAGAGGGAGGAGGGGGGAAATACACAGAGGATAAGACTGACTTTAGTCTTTCTTTCTCCAGGCTGTTTTAAATGTGCTTTTGCACTGCACTGGAAGCGAAGAAATGTTATAGCCTTCTCCCACCCACTACACAGTGTTTTGCCCTTCAGTGTTTTTCCTCTGTGGGTCTTACAGCACTTTCAACTTTTGTAATGCTTCCCTTTGAGGCTGATACCCTGCTTTGCAGATGTGGGAACTGGGCTGTGGAGGGAGACAGCCTTGTCTGAACTGAGCCTGCATCAGGGCTGGAAGTGAAACCCATTGGCAGTGACTCTTGGCTAAAAAACTTTTCCTGCTCTGCTATTCAGGAAAATTTGTTTAGGACTTTTAGCCTTTGCTCTATTAGTCACAAAATAAACCTTGCAAAGTCACTAATTAACCAGTCACTAATTAACCAGGGCCTCCTTTTTTCTCCTGTGTTATAGATGGCAATGGTGGCTTGTATCGTGCTTTGGTGGATAATAAAATCTTGGATGACATGAAGCAGCGTGGTATCCAGTACATCCATGTGTACTGTGTAGACAACATTCTTGTCAAAATGGCAGATCCAGTCTTCATAGGCTTCTGTGTTTCCAGAGGAGCAGATTGCGGTGCCAAGGTGAGGTGGTGCTAATGCTGGGCTGATTGCCCACAGAGTTAAGATCTTGGGGAGTGAGCAGAGTTAAGATCTCAGGGTGAGCTTGGATGTGCTCAGATCTCTGCCCAATGACAGCTTGCTCAGAGCAGACTTAGATGTGGCAGTCTGAAATGCCTGTTTTGAACTCACAGTCCCCTTCCTGGGAGTGTACTGGTAGCACTCCCTTCCTTCTTCCCAGAGTGGGATGGAAAACAGGCTTAGAAACATAGAATTACAGAATCGCTAAGGTTGGAAAAGATCTTCAAGATCATCCAGTCCAACTGCCCACCTTCCACCCCCACCTGTTTCCGCACTAAACCATGTCCCTTAGTACAACATCCAAATGCATCCAGGGGCAGCAACTCCTTCACCACCCGGGGCAGTCTGTTCCAATACCTGAACACTCTTTCAGAGAAGAAATGTTTCCTAATATTCAGCCTGAATCTCTCCTGGTGCAACTTGAGTCCATTTCCTCTTGTCCTGTTGTTGTTACCTGGGAGCAGATGCTGACCTCATCTCACCACAGCCTCCTTTCAGTGAACTGTGGAGAACCATATGATTTCCCCTGAGTTCTTCTTCTCAACATTGACCCATCCCAGCTCCATGCCCATCTCTGGACACGCTGCAGGGCCTCCATGCCTGCACTGCAGTGAGGGCCCAGCACTGAGCACAGCACTGAGCTGCGGCCCCACCAGTGCCGCACAGAGGGACGATCCCCTCCTGCTCCTGCTGGCTGCACTGCTGCTGACACCAGGCAGGATGCCGTGGGCCTTCTTGGACACCTGGGCACACTGCTGGCTCATGTTCAGCATGGACCCCATATCCATTTCTTCCACTCAGTCTTCCAGTCACTCTCCCACAAGCTTGTAGCACTGTATGGGGTTGCTGGGGCCAAAGTGCAGGACCTGGAACTTCGTCTTGTCGAACCGTCTTGTTGGCCTCAGCCCAGCCTATCCAAATCTCTCTGTAGGAGGGTGGTGTCATCTGCACATTCCCCTCATCCAGGTCATAACAAAGAAATTAAATTTCTATTAAAGCAGGGACTGTAATTGCACAGAAACCTACAAACTGAAATTGCTTCCCTTTTGTGTGTTCCTTTTCTGCAGAGGCACCTGAGATATCTGGAAGCTTTATTGGACTGGGTTGTGTTTTGTAAACACACCTTTAATTCTAATCAAGGCACTCCTTACATCCCACTGTGATAGATGGCAAAAGCCAGAAGAGCTTGGTTTTGTGACTCAAAATCAGCCTTCAGGTTTCCTGATGTTCAGCACAGGTTTCTGTTGCTTTAATCAACACTGTTCATGTAAGCAGGGAGCTAAAGGCTGATAGATTTAAGATTCTTCATTTAATGCCAAATCCCAGTTAAAAGACCTTGATAGGAAAAGTGTCTCACAGTGTTCTGCTCCAGCCAGCTGACTGGAGGCGGCTTTCTTTTAACTGTGGACTGTCTTCTGAGCAGTTGTGCCATGAAGTGGTCACGTACTCCTTTTTGTACCAGGTTGTTGGGAAGAATACGTCTCCAGGCTACTCTGTGTACTCAGTATTATCTTACTTGTGTTTGTGAGGCACTGTACACTGGAATGTACATCAAAGTCTTGGAGGTCAATTTAGCATGGCAGTTGGAATATTGTTGGCGTTTTCTTCCTCCTTGTGATGAGCCCTCTGTCCTGTGGCTGCAGGTGGTGGAGAAGGCCTACCCCACAGAGCCTATTGGGGTGGTGTGCTGCGTGGATGGGGTCTCTCATGTGGTGGTGGAGTACAGTGAGATCAGCCCAGAGACTGCGCAGCAGCGAAGGCCGGATGGGGGGCTGATGTACAGCGTTGGCAATATCTGCAACCATTTCTTCACTGTTGAGTTTCTGCAGACAGTGGCCCAGTAAGTTCCAGCAGAACTGCCAGGCAGCTGTGCACAGTGGATGTTCCCATTTCCCATGTTGTAGTTATGGATACTTCCTACTCTGCTCTTCACCTCTCTCCTCCAGAAAGTCCCACACAGCTGTGTCTGCTGTTGGTCACCCCAGGATGTTCTTTATGTCTTATCCAATGGAGAGTTTGCGTACTTTGCTGTAGCTAAATCACCTGGTATAAACCAGTGCTTTGACCTTCCTGGGCTTGCAGGGATGAGCAGCCAAATGGGTTGCATCACTGACCACACCACACACTTGGAGGATTTTCAGAAGGAATGTCAGCCATGCTGTATCCCTTTGGACAATTGGGTGGGGGAGTGAGTGAGGCTGGCAGAGGACTGCACCTTGAGGTTGGGAAATAGGAATGTGATACCAGGCATTCAGTGAGCAGCTTTCTTCTGTTAATTATGGTTCTGACCCTGGACTGGAGGTACTGTTTTCTTGTGGGGTTTGTTGCTGTGGGAGGATATGAAACTGATGTAGTCTAAAGGTGTGGGGACAGTTAAAGGAGACCGAATTTCATTTCTGTCAATCCTGAGGCAGACAGTATTCCAGAAGAGCTTGATCCCTTTGTGTGAAGGATCTGCCCTGCTCCATTTTCACCCTGGTCAAATAACAATTCAGGTTACCTTTTTCCCCTCTGCCTGTGATTGCAGCTGTGCACTCCATCACCTTTTGTTTTACCCTATAATGCCATGCTGTGCATTAGGATGGAGTGCCTTGGCTGCCTGCCATGCAGGTGACTGGGCTACTTTGCTCAGTGAAGTGTTTCCTGGATGTGATTTAAGTCAACATCCACAACAGTTGACATATGACCTGGAATATTATTACTTATTACTTAGCCATCAGCTTTCCAGAGAGGTACTTCTCTTTTTTAGTGGGCACGAAGTAAATGAACTTGTTTGTCCTTCTTTTTGCAGAAAACACGAGTCTCAGCTGAAGCACCATGTGGCCATAAAGAAGGTGCCTTACATTGACGAGGAGGGAAATCTGGTAAAACCACTAAAACCGAATGGAATAAAGCTGGAGAAGTTTGTGTTTGATGTGTTCCAGTTCTCTAAGTTAGTGGCAGAAGTCATCTTTTTTTCCCCCTTTTCAATGTCTGTTTGAATGACTGTAAGTTGTAGATCTTGACAGACTGTGTGTAGTTTGTGTTAGAGAGACTGTTGGATCTACCAGGCTTCAGGATGGCAGTAACTCTGCAGGCACTCACAGTGCGTTCACTCAGTCCTTGTGTGCAGTTCTTTGGGAATCATTCATTCTGCTGAGGATGGTTTGGTTGACTGTCCCTCTGCTGGCCCTACGAAAGAAAGAAGGCAGGAAACATAGAGCATAGCCAGCATTTATTACAAGAGCATGCTGGAATGTTCAGATTCTCAGAAATCGAACCTTTCATAATTGTGGTTTCCATGACGACTACAGCTTTTGTTGGGTTTTAGGTGCATGAGAAGCTGGGGCCGATTCACACCGTTTGTGTTCCGAGAACAGGTCGCTAGAGCCCCTTTGGGATAAGTTCCTGTTGCTGTATGAACTGGAAAAGCTGCCTTGCCAATCTCTAAGACATAGTATAGCTGTGCTGTGGGGCTAACACAGTACTTTGTGTTCAGTGAATGTGGATTTTAATAATTTAGGAATTTACCGTAAGTTTATGAATCCTCTTTTTTCAAACCCTAGAATTCAGTAACAAAGATTCTGTTTTAGGCTGAAATTAACAACAAGAGCAAAAAAAGAGACCTTAGGCAAACTGAAATATCATGTTTGGAGATAGTGTTTTTGTTTTAAGAGGATTTACTGTAAGTGAAGCAGATAAGGTTTGAACCCTGGTCTCCGTTCCCTGACATGCAATCTGTAAGGAAACATGCTTAAAGACAAAGTCAGTGTGGTGGAAATAATACAGAGCTCTGGATTTTGAAACAACTGCAAGCAATTACTTCATGCTTTTTTTCATGTTACTTCATGTACTTTTTTGATAATATGGAAAAAATTGGCAGATGCTCTATATGTGTGATATACAGAAACACGAAGGTGCTGCTGTGGTTTTATTTGCATTCCCTTTTCTGGTAAACTTCTGTACATACATTTGACTGTATGTCCTCCTGTGTTGCTTACTCATACCTGGAAACATACCTGAGTCACTGCTTGCCCCCAGGCTCCCATGCAGAGTGACTGTTTCTTTAAGCCAGGGGTGCAGTGCTCTGATGTGAGCAGCATAGAACTGCCATGTATCTGAGCTTCAGGCATTGCACCTCATTCTGCTTTTCTGTCATACATCCCTGGTTCTTAATTGTCCCTCAGATGGGAGGTGGACTTTCCTTAGCTTGACTCTGCCCCAGGCTGTGTACATCACTGCTTTTTAAAATATGTATGAGCACTTCCCCATGAAAGTTGGTTTTGCATCTTTTTTTCAGAACAAAGCTGATAGCTTTGTTTTTCATTATTCTTGTTTTCCCCCCTTTGCTGATAGGAATTTTGTGGCATTTGAAGTTTTGAGAGAAGAGGAGTTCTCGCCATTAAAAAATGCAGACACAGCTGAGAAAGACAATCCTACCACTGCTCGGCAGTCCCTCCTGGCCCAGCACTACCGCTGGGCTCTCAAGGCTGGGGCCAGATTTCTGGATGAAGAAGGCTGCAGGATACCAGAGAAGCTCAGGTGTGAACCTTAGAGATGTTCTCTGCAGATTCTTTGCCTGTGGCTTCCCAAGCCTGATGGCTGGCTGATGGTATGCACACTGTGCTATACAAAACAGAGCATTTGTCTGATCACTTGGGTCAGCTGGCCTTTTCCAAACATCCTCTTACAGCTACTGCTCCATTAGTATTGTACTTTAGACACTAATGCACAGAACCCTTTGCTTTAACTCTGGCAGAGATTCCTGCCTTGGGGGTCACAGGTCAACTCCTCCTATAGAAACTTGAACACAGTAAGACAACTGCCTTAGATAGAAGCAGACTTTTCTATCACTCAAGATGTAGCCAGCCCAAGGAACTCTAACTTGTGGTCATCCCTGCCTCTTCTGATTGTGGTCGCAGTTTTTAAAGCGCAGCAAGAGTCTCAGATGGATATTACAGCAATTATCAATTCAGATACTGCCTGCATCATGCTGAATTAAAGCTGCTTTTACTACATGAGACAATTACTTCATCAACTGACAGCTTAATAAACCCAGAAGCTGTTCATTTTATTTGAAAAGTACCTTTTAAAAAGCCATGTAATTGTTTTGATGAAAACCTGCTAGTTCCCTTTCACTTTCATAGTTTATATTCAAATGATACCTGATGCATGTGACTGTAACAAATGTTGTATCCTTCCGGATATCTTACTCTTGACAAACCTTCAAAGACAACAGACTGTTTTGTAAGCATAGCAAGAAGTTAACCAGTGTTCTCTTATTCAGTTTTTCAGGAACCGAAGATCCTCCGGCTGTGTGTGAGATTTCTCCATTAGTATCTTACTTTGGAGAGGTGAGAATAATTATCTATGGAAGTAAAATGCTTAAGAGTATGCAGAAATGCATCTGATTTCTTTACAGAAATGAATTTTCTTTAGCCTGTGCTTGCTCAGAAATAGTAAGGTAAAGGGAGCTAGGACTTGTGTTATGTTTGTAGTTCGCATTGTGGCTTATTCTTGAGCACCTTGCTCAGTCTTCACATATCTCGGTTTTAGCAATTTCTAAAATGAGATATGTAATGAGGTGATGAAGTTTTGTTAGGATTCATTAGTATACTTTGAGATCCACTGAATGAAAACCTTTACATCTTCGCTAAGTTCCTGTCTGCAGGTAGCTGGCTCACCACAATTGGTACCTTATAAGAATAAAACAAAGGTGAGACAATGTGATTTTCTTTGCTAGGATTGTTCTAGTATGTGTTCAGAACACCTCTGCCCCATGCCTCACCCTTCTCAGCAGGGCTTGTTCCTGATGTCCACTGTTTTACAGTTCATCCTCTCCTTCACAAACTCTGGTCATATGGCTGAAGTGCTTTCTGCTCTTACTGGGGAACAGTTCTGTTGCCTGTCCTTTGTGTGGCCTTTTAACTTAGGGAGTCAGTCATTCTTTGTAAATCTTATAGAGACTTTAAAACAATACACATGACCAATATGATGTGTTTATAACCTTATGATTTTCACATGTTCTCAGGGTCTGGAGGTGTACATGAAGAACAAAGACTTCTGTTCTCCCCTTATACTTGACGAAGATAAAGCAGAAATGCTAGGAAGTTCTTGAAGAGGAGGGAGGTCTTCTCCCCCGTCAAATCAGTTGCTTGTCTGTCAGAGCAATTATAAGAACTGACCCTACTAAAATGTCATATGAAGTGCCTTATGAAAACTTGCTTTGCAGTATTAGGTTGATGCCAAATACTTGTAACAGTTGTATATACACATCTGTGCCCACTCACCAGATCTGTTTGGTGACTTTGAAGTCTGAGCCTTTTACCTTGATCTGTTTTGTCAACAGTGATATGAATGACAATTAATACTTTCCAGGTACCAGACAGATTTTATATTTCCTTTCTCTAGTGCATACAAATATATAGCAGAGCCAGCTGAAATCTAATCGATCAGCTTTGCATTCATGAAGATTAGATCTCTGCAGTGCCTACCTTTGTATCTTGTTTGTGCTGTTGTTGTTGTTGTTGTTTTTGTATGTTTGCTTGTTTGTTTTAAGCTGTGCAGAGCTGAAGAAGAATCACTGTGATGCCCCAATCTGAAAAATATGGAATGACCTTGTGTACTAGACCAGTTCTGTCCAAAGATCAATCTTTTCTGTAATCCTCTGCTGGTCAGGAGGTGCAGTTCAGCATTCACATCCTACAATCAGTGTGTATGGAGGAGTGTGCTGCAGTTGGGGTCCTTCTGTGTTAAAATTTTGCTTGAGAAGTGGACCCTGCAGCGGGTAGGACTGGCTTGCATATGTAGGCTCAGTGGTGGCATTCCAAAACAAAAACCTAAGTAAATATGCAGCTCAGACTGATTGCTTTTGACAGCTGCAGTGACCTGCAGGGGGGGAAGAGGACAAAAAAGAAGGCTGAGAACTCTTTTCACAACAGCCTTCTCTTCCTCTCTTATGACAATCATTTATTTTGCTTTTCATTTTTCTGTTTGATACATATAACATCCCTCAGGGAGCCACTCCTGTGAAGTGCCTGAAGGTGACAGTGACAGGAGTGACAGGAGTAACAAGCTGTGAGGGAGAATTTGAGGCTTAATCCCAACATAAGCAATGTATACAGTAAAACGCCTCAGCTTCTACAATTTCTGGCCAAGTGGTTTTCCAGCGCTTTTTCAGTTAAGGAAAGAACTCTTTAGATGCCTTGCTTTTAACCAAGATTACAGACGATGATATATCAACTAACTAAGGAAGGTAATTTGCAGACTTTCAGTAGCACAGCAGCTCAGCCCTGGTGGAGGGGTCACAGGGTGGCCGTGCCTTACAGCTCCTGCTCTGCCCCAGCAGATCCTACACACCAAAGTCATTTCACACCCTAGGAGGACTCTTCAGGTGCATTACTGAGTGAGGTTGGGATGATGAGCACACACTGCATTTCCCCCAGTGAGCTGTAGGGAAGGTGATGAATCATAGGATCATAGAATCATAGAATGGCCTGGGTTGAAAAGGACCACAATGCTCATCCAGTTCCAACCCCCTGCTGTGTACAGGGTCGCCAACCAGCAGACCAGGCTGCCCAGATCCACATCCAGCCTGGCCTTGAAGGGGCATCCACAGCCTCCTTGGGCAACCCGTTCCAGTGCCTCACCACCCTCTGGGTGAAAAACTTCCTCCTAATATCCAAACTAAACCTCCCCTGTCTTAGTTCAAAACCATTCCTCCTTGTCCTATCACTATCCATCCTGGTAAACAGTCATTCTCCCTCCTGTCTATACACTCCCTTCAAGTATTGGAAGGGGAGAAGATGAGGCATTTCATGTCTCTGCTTCTACTATAGAATTGTCAATTAAGCATTAATCTTTTATGTAATTGAATCTCTGAAATCCTTCCTATGAAGCTGTATTCAGAATGTTGGAGAAAATAAAAATAGCTTTGAGAATAATTATCATTTGTAAGTAGGCTTATATTTTATAGAGAAACCACCTAAATGCTGATGGCAGAATTTAAAGATACAAAGTGTATCTGCATATACATGAGTAATTAATCTTTTATATGTGGAGACCAGCTAACTTCAGTTCTGGTTACCTCTTGCTGCGTGTGCAATCAGTATTTTTAGTAGAATTTTTAGTATAAATTGAGCATTTGTTTTTGACACTCAGATCTGTATTTTTATTGTGCATTTTTTATGGGTCATTTCCATTCCTGTCAGTTGAGTTTTGCATCTGAGAACTGATTGCATTATATCTTTGAGAGCATTGCTCATCAGTTCAGGCCCAGGTTGTTTTAAATTGCACTGTGCTATGAAGAATACTCTTCTGTTCTTTCTAGAATGCATTTTCATTTTTCTGTATGCTTTAATCGTGTGAACACTGAACTGCTGATATGATTTTAGAGATTGTTTTTGAGGAGAAGAGGAATTAGGATGCTGAATGCCTCATGTGTTTTGTTTTGTTTTCCAGAAATTTTTGGACAATGAAGCATTTTGATAATAAAGATGTTACTGTGATTTCTTTGTGTCCATCTGTCTTCCTTGTTTGTGAGGAAATGCAGGAGGTTTTGTCCCTATGCACCGCCGTGCTGTCACACAGCTGCAGGACACTGACATGGCACCACTGACAGCACAGCTGGAGGCTGCAGTGGCCATGGCTGTTGTACAGGGTGATGTAGAACTCAGCAAATATCCAAAGAAGTTTGACACTGTGGGACATGTTTTTCCATCAGACAGCTAACAGAACACTATTCTCCCCAAAAGTAGTTTTTCCACAGTGACAGGCTGTCCTCTCTTTTGGGGGCTTAGTGCTGAACCCAGCAAAGGTCCAAAGCAGATGTTCTTTCTCCTTTACCTATTCCACATTTTTCTCTTGGCACCCATATGAAGGTTGCTGTTGCTGGAGTTTTTAAATGCTTTTTTAAGTGATGTGAATTGGTAATTTGCTGTGGTAGGAAAATGAATACTAAAATGTGAATGCATGCATCAGGGTTCTGTTGAATTGTTTCTCTGCTTGTTTGTGCAGTGTTGATACTTACCAGAACAATTTGTTGAGGGCTGTGTTTTGTTTTGTTTTGTTTTTTGTTTTGTTTTGTTTTGTTTTTTAAATCATGAGATGTTAACTTAATTCTCAGTTTTATCTTGGGGACAAACCTGGAGTCCAAATTTAAAGGTTCAAATGATGTCCTTCACTGAATAGCTAGGTACACCTGGAGGTGAATTCAGGGCCAGCACTTACAGCAGTATCCATGGCTGCTTCCACACCTTTTCTTCCCTGTTGGACTGTGAACTTGATATAAACATAACCTGGTTCCCAACTGTAGGCAATGGCAATGAGTAATACAGAAACACAGGCAATGTGGCTCTAAATGTGTACAATATTAAATGGTGCTGCCCCTCTTCCTCCCTCATGAAGTGTCTCTTTGCAAAGGGCATGTGAGAAAGGGCAGAGCGTCTGTGAAGGAGCAGGTAGGAAAGGAATTGTATGGATCCTGCTGTGTACCAAATTATTTTGAAAATCTCTTTAGTCAACTTTGCCCTCTCAGAATCTCATTCATGCCTTTTCACACCCCTGAGTTCTTAGGGCAGAGTTCCTGTGATGTCTGCCCTGGACCAGGGCAGGGGGATGAGTGATGCAGGTTGTTAGGATGCATGTTTTAGACTGCTCTGTCCTCTGGGATTCAGCAGAACTTTGGGTCTCCTGTGCCATGCTCAGCTTCCAGGCTGGAGCAGAGGGTGTGTGCAGTGCACTGCAGCCCTGGTACCATCCTCCCACCAGGACACTTCCTGACAAGACACGGTGACTTCTGCTGCACCCCTCGCACCCACATCCCCACCAGAGCAGCCTACCAGGCAGGTGGGAAATGCACCTTCCCAGATGCATTCAGCCTTCTTCCAATTCCTCAGTTACTTTTCTTCTTGTTACTGGTCTGTCCTGTGATCCCACAACACAGAAGAACAGGAGGGCTCTCAGCATCTCCTTGTATTTCATTTCCTGTTCAAGATGCCCAGGTCCTCCTCGGACAAGGTCAGGCCATGTGGTGAATAAGAGTATGTAGAAGGCAAGGGCAGGCAAGGAGAGGAAAGAAATCCTTACATCCGTGAAGTTCCTCTGACTTGAAAGAAGTGATCGTATTAGGGTGACTGGGGACATTCCAGAATGTAATGTGACAGTAGAAGTGGGCAGCAGAGAATCATATCACAGAGTGTTGGGATGGAAGAGACCTTTAAAGTCCACCCAGTTCCAAGCCCCCTGCCATGGACAGAGATACAAACCACTAGATCAGTCTGCCCAGGCGCTCCATTCACATCATTGGGCACCTCCAGGGATGGGGCACCCACAGCTCTAGGCAGCTATGCCAGGGCCTCACCATCCTCTGAGTAAAGAGTTTCACCCTGATATCTGACCTAAATCTTCTCTATTCTAGTTTCAAGCCATTCCCCTTTGTCCAATTCCTATCAGACTGTGTCAAAAAATCTGTCTCCCTCCTCTTTATAAGCTACTTTTAAGTACCGGAAGGCCACAATGAGATTTCCCTGGAGCCAGTTCTCCCTTTTCACTTATCAGAGAGGGTAGACACTCATTCCTCTGTCTCTTCTGACCAGTGTACCTGTAGATTCTCCTCCTGTTATTTTTCAAGTCCCTTGCCAAGTTCAGCTTCATCTGCACCTTTGCTTTCCTGATCCTAACTCTGTACATCTGAATGGCATCTCTGTATTCTTTCCACCTATCCCCGCTTCCACTCCCTGTACAAGTCCTTCCTTCCTCTTCATTTGACCACCAGATCCTTTTTCAGCCATGCTATTTTCCTGCCTCTGCTTAATTTCTCATGCTGGGGACAGAGTATCATAGAATGGCTTGGATTGGAAGGAACTTAAAAGACTGTCTAGTTCCAACCCATCTGTTGTGGGCAGGGTTGCCGACCACTAGATCAAACACCAGCTCAGGCTGCCCTGGGCCCCATCTGTGGCCACCAATCGAAGCAATTCCTTATCCACCGAATGGCCCAGACTTCAAATCCATCTCTCTCCAGTGTAGAAATAAGGATGTGGTGCAGGTCCATTGCAAAAGCCTTGCAGATCTAGGAAGATGACATCAGTGGCTCTCCCTTTGTCCACCAATTCTGTCACTCCATTATAGAAGGCCAGCAGATGGGTGTTGCACAGTCTGACCTTGGTGACGCTGTGCTGGCTGTCTCAGATCACCTGCTCATTCCTCTCATGCTCTTAACATGTTTTCTAGGAAGATCTGTAGATCATCGTGCCCTTCTTTTTCACTTTCTTATAAATGGGAGTGACATTTTCCTTTTTCCAGTCCCCAGGGACTTCTCCTTGACAGCCATGACTTCTAATACGATGTAGAGTGGCTCGGTAATCATCTCAGCCAGCTTCCTTAAGGCCCATGGATGCAGCTGTACACGCTCAGTCTCATGAGTCAGCCTCGGACTCACAGGAAGGGGAGACTCTTCTCCCACCCAGAAGTCCATGGATGTGACAGACACAAGAAGCCTGGCTGCCAGCGAAGACTGAGCTAAAAGAACTTGCTGAGTACCTCAGCCTTCTCCACGCTGCACGTTTGCAATCTCCCCATTTCTCAACGTAAAGCTCCCCCGCCCCGCCCTGCCTCTCTCAGACCCGCACCGCCCCCAGCTCCCGCTCAGGCCCGGCCCGCCGTCGCTGTGTCGCGTGCAGCTGCCGCTGGGGACGCCATAGAGCCCCGGAAGTGCTGCCGGGCTAGAGCGGCACCCGGAAGCGCTGTGGGGTGAGAGAGCGGCACCCGGAAGCGACCGCTGGGTCGTCGCTCGGCGCGGTGAGGCCGCGCGGTAATGGCGGCGGGCGCGTGGGGCGGCGGGCGGCTGGGCGCGGGGCGGGCGGGCTGCGGCCTCTGAGGCTGCCGCCATGTACGCCGCCGCCGCCGCCGCCTCGCCGCCCAGGCGGGACTTCATCTCCGTCACCCTCAGCCCGGACGAGGCGCCGGGCGCCGGCGGCTACAACAACAGCAAGGCCTGGAGGCGGCGCTCCTGCTGGCGGGTGAGGGCGGCGGGCCGCGGGCTGTGCGGGACGGGGCTGTTGTGCAGGGGGGAAGGGTCGCGTTCCGAACAGTGTCCTTTCGCAGTCGGGATGTCACGGTGGGGAGCTGGAGGCGGAGGAGCAGGAGAAGCGTTCTGTGGGGTGCGTGGGGCGGAGCTGCGGGCCGGGATAGTTTGCACTGGGGTGTTCGCGGCCACTGGTTCTCATTGAGGGAGGGCTGTAGGAAGCGGTGTGAGGTGCGGGCAGGTCCGTAGGAAGCTGCGGGATGTGGCTTTAATGCCAAAGCTCCCTGCATGCCAAAGACAGTAATTGGAAGCAAATTCCTGCTCTGTTGCATTTTGCTTCTGTTCTTAGAAAAGCAACAAAATGGTAACTTAAGTTAATGTTTAACTCTGACCTCTTTCTCTATGGATTGGAGTTCTTGGGTCTGACTTCTCTGTTAGATTGATGTGGCATTTGATGTCTGGCTTTTAGTGATTTGGTATAAGTACTTCATTTTTTGTCCTGTTTTGGTTTTGTTCATTATCCAGTTGGCTCACCTTATTTTGTATGGATTGGTTGCTTTTTTTCTGGTGGCAAACTATTATGTATGATAGTTCTACATATGTGTTTTTAAGATGCTGTGTGCCATACTTTTCCTGGGCAGTGGCTAATGTGAAGCTTATTTAAAGCCTTTTTTCTTTGTTGCAGTAATATTTTTAGTTTTCCTGCCACATTTTCCCTGTTTTCATTTTGCACATCAGTTCTTTAATAGCTCTGGGCAGGAAGGGATGAGATTTGTGGCATGTTTCCAAGTTGACATCTGGGCAGATGCTCAGCTCAGCCAGGGCTGTGCTGGAAGGCAGTGTGCTGCAGATGCTGCTGCCCGGCAGTCTCAGTATGTGGCATTCTCCAGGGCTCTTGCAGCAAGCAGCTCTCCTGGTTCACCATGCCTGCTGTGCTGTAGGGCAACGTGCTGTATTTCTGTTTTCTCTGTCATTGGAGGAAATAAGCAATGAACTTCTCTGTTGGAAACAGAGGGTAAAATTAAACTTAGTTTAGTGGTCCTTGCTTTGAATGAACAGATAGGAATTTAGTTCTTAATATCATGCTAAATTTTCTTCCTCTTATTTTCTCTATGGAAGAAATGGAAGCAGCTGTCTCGACTGCAGCGGAGCATAATTCTCTTCCTGTTTGCCTTCTTGATGGTCTGCGGAGTCATTTCATACACAAGTGTGGGGGAACCTTGGAAAAGTACGTGTTCTGTATGGCTGTAAATTACTTGAACGTAGTGTTACACTTAAGAGATTTTGGTAGTGCTTCTGAATAGTGTTTATTTTGGTGACGGAGGCTGATTTTATCTATTGCAGTACAATTATGACATGTTTCAATGGGTATGCTTAATCAGAAGTATTTTTCACGCCTCTGTGTTATCTTGACTGAAGAACGTTTTGTTTTAGTTGATAAAGGTTTGGAGGCTGTGAATGTTCTGTTCATAACGTTTGTGTGTAGGTATCAGTAACTCAAACCTAAGCAGCAGGATAAGATGATCCTCTTTTGGTTTTGATTGTCTATAAAATTTGAAGTTCCAAGGTTTTCTACAGTACAAAGACACATTTACCTTTGATTTAATCTTCTTGCCTGTATTGTGAAGCAAGGTTAATGGTAATTACAAAGCATGTGCCTTTTAGCAGCCTGCTTTGACTTCAGGAATTTGTTAATACCAAATGCTACTTTGTATCTAAGAATTATAACATGTTCATCCCTGTTTGATGAAAAGAAACACTGTTTGGAGGAGTTCTGGTATGGGAATGCAGGCTGTTAGAAATTCCTAGCTGGAGCCAAAGTTGCTGATTGCCTTTGCTGAGCATTTTTATGTGTGTAGGTTTAACAAACAAATCATCGGATGAGCATGGAACAGAACCAGATGCTCCTGGATTAAAGCTGGCGAATCCAGCTGTCCTACCAGCGCCCCAGAAGGCAGATGCCAACGCTGGAGACTACCTAGAGCTTTCACCTCAGGTATGAAGAGAAGAAATGGGATTTATAGACCTGCCTAAGAGTTTGTGGAAGATGCAAATAGTGATACTTTCCAGTGGTTGTTGTGGAAAGAAATGTTATAACTTTCAGTAAAGACCTGCTGTGAGTTCAGTGCTGTCATCTCAGGAACGGCTTTTGGCATGGTCTATGTCCTGGCTTTAACTTTTTGATCCAAGTGTTCAGTTTACTTTTTCATAATCAGTGATACACGTCAGAGTGATAGGACTTCATGTCACGTTGACCTCTTACTTGAGGCTTCACCTATGTGCTGTAATAAATTTGCTTGCACCTGGAGTACTCTGGCTGTCAGCCTCACAGCTGTGAGGTGCCTGAACAGCGTAGTGACTGCCTGTGACATGCATGGTGCTCAGTGTCACACTAATTAGCACAGCTTTTGTGGTAACTGGAAAAATATCAGCAAACAGAACAGGTGTTCAGTAGGTTTTGAAGGGTTACATTTATAGGCAGGGTGATGAGAAAGAAACAAGAATTGGCTGTTTGGATTAGCAGAGCAGAGGACTACTGGGTGCTGCAGATATGCTTGTGTTGCTCTTCATGTATTTTCCTCATGAACTGTTAAATGAAGAAAGAAACCAGAGCTAGCACTACCACCAACACAAAGATGTTGCAGCATATCTTCCATTCAAGGCAGATTTTTGCATGCTGGTATTGTATCAGAATTAATGCTTTTGACTTATGGTTTGAATTTTATCATTTGTGTAAAGTACTGAGCACGCTTTTTTCTTTTATTCTTTCTCTCAGGAGAAACCAAAATTACCACATGGTCGGCGTAATCCTTCCAATTTTCAGATCAAGCCCCCATGGGGGGACGTGAGGCTGCAAACCCGACATGACACCAGCAAGGCAGTAGAAGAGCCAGTCCAGGCTGATAAACAGGAGAAAACAGAGAAGTCTGTTATCAGGTAGGAGGGTTTCCAGCAAGTTACAGCTTTCTTCTTTCATTTTCTTTTTTTTTTTTTCTTTTATAAATTATTATTATTTTATGTTTTTTATTTCCCCATTCCCTATTGGTATTCATCAGCTGTTGGAGTGAAAGCTGCTTTTTATTGTCTGTCTGAATTTGATTTTTTTGTTTCTATGTACTTGTTCTTAAGTTCAGTGTGACAGCTTTTGCTATTGGTAGTTTCATTTATTGAATTAGGGTGAATGAATTAGGTGTTCTTTTTTTATTCTTTGCATTGTAGAGCTGCCAGAGGATTGGAGCCCTTCTAGATGGTCTACATTTCTAATGCCTTTTGTTATTGTTTTGAGATTGTTAATGCCTTGGAGAATTTTCAGCGTGTGTACATTTCTTCCATTTGTTTTACACTGAATATAACAGCATAAATACAATAACACAACCTCTCTTTTTCTGCAGTAGACATGGGGAACTATACTGGTGTCATAGTGTTGGTTAGGGATATCATGCCAGTCAACAAAGCTAAGCACAAGTGGACCTGGTGGAGGCTGTGGATGTGTATGCAGCTGTTTACACGTAACTGTGTTGATACTGATAAAAGGTTATTCCCTAAGATACCACTGAAATCTTTTGGTTTGGGAATAATTGAAAAGATTTAAGTTGGACATAGAAAAGGCTGTCAGTAGTTCAGAAGATGCGCTTAATTAATATTTGGGAAAAATAGGCTAGGTATAGCTCCCAGCGGCTCATCCACAGCCTTGGGCACCTCGAGGGATGGGCATCCAACAGCTCCAGGCAGCAGTGCCAGGGCTTTACCACCCACTGAGGAAAGGATTTCCTCATAACATCTTACTTAAATCTCCCTTGTTTTAATCTAAAATCATTCCATCTTGTCCTATCAGTGTCTGCCCGTGTTGTATAGTGAAATCAAAGTTAACGTGTGTATATGTACTAACAAGCATAGTTTAGGTAGTTTGGTCTTGATGTGGACCTGGCTTGACTTGGAAGTGTATTCTGAAAGACTTTTTCTTCAGGAGATTCTTAATGGAAGCCTCTTCCAGTTGATGTAGGCTTCTTTGTTTGTTTGAAAACGTGTGTAACCCCTTGGTATGACAGTGACTGCTGTAAGTGGCCAGTCCCTTGCGTTTATTCATGAGCTTTCTTCCTGGTTCTCATTTCTATGGCACTAATTGTCAGTGGCTGCTATGATCATTTCAGAATAGGGTTGGTAACAAAATACTTTAATGCAGCAATCTCAAATATCTTAGTGCTTTTAAAAAAAGTTTTTAAGTTTATTAAATTCTGTTGTTGAGATCTTAATGAAATTGCAGCAACCTGTTGTAAGACACTTTTCTTAATCCAGCACAATTTCTCTGGTGCAAATGACTTTTTCTTTTAGTGGAAAAGTTGTCTAGTGGACAACATGGTTGTTTTGACCCTTGATACAAAATCCAACTCCTGCTTTATCAAAGTATAGTGAAAAATAGCAAATAAGTCTCATTCATTTGCATGACCTAGTGTAAATGAATGAAGTATTGATGTCAACCTTTTGCATTTGCAGCTGGAGAGGAGCAGTGATAGAACCCGACCAAAGCAGTGAACCTCCATCTAATAGAGTAAAGGAACCAGAAAAACCTTCATCTGTGGAAGGTGAAAGCCAGAAGGAACCAGGTAAATAGAGCACCCTTATTCCTGTTCACTTTTACTGCTGAAATTATCCAGTTTCTCTTCTCGCATCATTTTTGTTGTCATTTTTGTTTGTTTTTGTTTTTCCTTTATGGAAGTAGAATTCTGGCAGAAGGACACAGGAGTGAAAACTGTGGGAAGATGATTTACCTGCGACATTTACCAAACTTTTCAGTGTCCTCATTCCACCATGACACCTTTCAAGCTCGTTAGTTTTCAGAATTTTGATTGAGTTGCAAGTCTCAGTTTTCAATGATGAATAAAAATTATTCTGATGCACATGTAAAACTTAGCTCATGTGATGCTGTGGCAGGAAACAGATTGCTGTGGCTACAGCAGACAGACTGTGTGTGAGTAGCCTGCAGAATTGTATATGTGCTTTTCCTTGCAGTTCACTGCTACCTCTGCCTTCTTGCAAACAGCCCTTCTGCTTCTGGACATTTTGTCTTTTAGGTGCATAGCGTGTTCTCCTCCATACGTTATCAGTAATGAAATAACTACAGATTATTTACTTATATGCAAACATAGGTGCTTTATCCTCCAAACTGTGTACTTTTGCTGCACAGCTGTTTCCTCTGATAGTCTGAAGCAAGGTTTTGGTAAGCGAGAGAGGCTTCTGGTTTTGGACTTCTGTATTTCCTTGCTATGAGATGATCCTACTGCACTGAGAGCACTGTGGGGATGTCTCTGGTTTCATCCCTTATCTTCTGAATCTTGGGTGCTTCTCTCTCCCATCAATTTCATCTCAACGCATACAAGAGAAACCAGAGGAATGTACCAAAATATTTGAACTATATGTTTTTTTGCTTTGTTTAGGCACACATTATATTCTGATTTTTTTCCCTAGCTTTTTTGCTTTCCTTAAACAGTTGCAGTAGTATTGAAAACAAATTTTAGTGCCAAACCTTTCTAATCTTTCCTATGGGAGGAGCCAGGAAAGATGGTCCAAAGAGAGACAGCTGGAAGGGGACAGTGTCTTTTTTTCAGCAATGTTGCCTTTTGTTCTGCAAATCCAGGGAAAGTGACTTCCTCCCTGAGTGAAGTTGAACTATTTTTAAGACTCACCAGGAAGCTGTGGAAGTTGTTCATGTAGTTACTGTCCTTGTGAAGTCAAGAACCCATCGTTCTGCTTTCTGACTTCATGTAAGGAAGTTTTATATGAAACATCACATTGTGCTGTGCCACATTTATTTGGTGTGGACTACCATGATCTTAATGGGGTTAGTTACACTGCTTGATGGTTCCCACTCTAGAATTCTGTTTATAACTTTTTGAAATTTCAGCTAGTGAGCTTGAAAATTTAGTTGTTCAGTATGGACCGTAAGTTCAATTTTTGTGGCGAATTGCAAGCTAAGACCTTAGCTGAACTGTGGAAAAAGACGTGGATTTGCCCAAAATAGAAAATACCAATTTTCTTTTTCCCAATTTTAAATGGAAAGCTCTAGAAAAGTGATCTTTTTTTTTTTTTTTTTTTTTTTTTTAAGAACTGACTTTAAGATGTAGCAGAAATTAAGGAATTAGGGAAAGTGAAGAACAAAGTGTGCGTGGTAAATGACATGAGGACTTTACTGGTTGGCATAGTTGGCATACATGTGAGCAGCTGAATTACATTTGATTTGAAGTCTTAATTTTGGTGTTTCCTGATTTTTCACGTTTTTTGAGCTGTAGCAGTTCTCATCTCACATCTGTGCATGTTATATTTTAGCACTGTATTTGGAGAAATGATGTGTGTGTTCTCTGTGCCTACTTCACTTGCTGACCACAGATACCGAGTAGTTATCCCACATACAAAAGGTTGTGCTGAAAAGAATAATCTGAGCACGTTTTTTTACAATACTGTTCACAGAGATTTTAGAATAAAATTTATTTGGGTATGATTTAGTGAAATGGTGTTTGATGTTGCTGCAGAACTCTTGAGCAAGATGTTCTTCTCCTTTTGCAGTGCCCATAAATGAACGTCAGAGGGCTGTGATAGAAGCATTCCGCCATGCATGGAAAGGATACAAAGATTTTGCCTGGGGCCATGATGAACTGAAGCCATTGTCCAAGTCTTACAGTGAGTGGTTTGGCCTTGGGCTTACCTTAATTGATGCCTTGGATACTATGTGGATTTTAGGCCTGAAAGAAGGTAATTTCTTCTTGCTTTTCTGTTCTCACCCCTGAAATTCTGTATCTTCTATTCAAGCAGTGTATGGTTAGAGATCTTTGAGGGGAAGGTTTATTACGTGGGGCCAATGGGAATAGTTTTTCTGTGAATTATATATATATAAGTTCTAAACACACACAAACAATACGTATTTCTATATATAATCCTGTTTTTATATATATATATATATATATATATATGTATGTAAAAAACCCCACAGCCCTGTATGAACAGACACCATTGCTCTTGGGTTAGTTTTTTTAAGCTAGAAAAGAGTATTCAACTATTATGTATAATATATGTGCTAGAAACTGAGGAATGGGTGGATAGGCCACTTTGTTTTATTTCTGTACTGAAATGCTGGTTCTGTTTTGATGGCACTATGCAGCCATCAGCCTTAGGTAGTTAGCCTGAGATCTCCTAATTTGTGTTTGATCATAGCTAGTATCAGTATTCTGTGTCAGGATTGAAGAAGTTTATGTAAGAATGGAGGAGGAGTAATTAATACCCCGTTTCTGAACTGCTCTACATGTTGGTTTTTTTTTTTTTTTCAGTTATTCTGTAAGTAATGCTGCTTTTATAAGTGCTGCAAACAGATTTTAAATACTAAGCCAAAAAAATCAGTAATTCTCTTGGAGAAAACATGCTTGATCAGTATTTAAGTGTGAGTGGGTTGTTGTTGTCTAGTTTTTTGTTTTGTTTTTAAGATGGTATTTGAAAATGTAAGGAACTGTAGCTATTGATTCTTGTTAGATAGCCCTCTTCATAAGCGTAGGTAAATCACAGCAATCTCAGTGTCATGGTGGGAAGAGAAGAGTTGCAAGTGAGGGCTTAACAGTGAAATTATACATTATTCTGTCTTTTCTTCCTTGGAAGTTTATGCAAAAATACTGTATCAAACAAAAAGTATGTATCATATCTGCAGCTGTATCTTGAGCAGATTGTCTTGAAGTTTCAAGTTGTCAGCATGCTGCTTTTCATGAAAAATTAATTGGGAATTGCATAGAGCTTTTAAATTATTAGCAATTTAAATGTGTTGAAAATGGGTTCTTATTGAAGATTGCTCTGTTTTACAGCAGTTCTTTTGCTGATTGCCTTAGAAAGCTCTTGAGGCTTCTTTTGAATAACAAGTGCTATCTAAATGAGTGTTCTGTTTGAGGTAGCCGATTTTTCTTACAGACTGATGGACGCTAATGCCTTTCTGACAGAGGACATTGTGTTTTTCATTATACTCCTGGATAATAACTGACAGTACAGACTTTTGTGTGATTCTTCTCAAGTAGACTGAGAAGAATATCTACCCCAAATCCCAAACATGTCAGTGTTGAACACACAAAAATGCTGTATAAACAATCCTGGCTGCTCTGGTTGAAATCCTTTGCTCAAATTGGGTCAGCCCAGACCTTATTCTAGAACAAGGCACGTGGCCATTTCACTTTTTTTCTTTCTCCTACTTCCCAAAGATACATAGGCATCCTTTTGCTTAGTGGTCTATGGAATACCTTCCATTTCTGGGGAACAGGTTGTTCTGTGACTCACGAGCCAGAGTTTCTGAGGCACATGATTTAAGATAGCTCAGCCTTTGGGATTAGAGACATAAGCCAGCTCACATGGACCTCAGTCTCAAACCCTGTGCAAAAGCAGTCATAAGGTGGTATGGCTGAAAAGCTGACTGTCAAATCCCAAACATCTTTTAATTTTTTTAATACCTTTCTGAATTAATAGTGTACTAAACAATCATTTTTGTTTCTGTGGAAAACACTGCAGACAATCTAAAATGCTGTGTGTCCCTGTCTGGGTTTTCTGAGTTAAATGCTAAGCTAGGAGGCAGGGCTTCCCAGGGAACTGTGAGGCCAGAGGCAGTAATGGCTGTTAATTGGAAACGTTATGGCTATCTTGGTGGATAACAACTTTGGTTTAAAAAGATTTAATTTAAAAATTTCTGAGGACTGTTGGTGGAAGTGTAACAAATTGTCTGACAAGTCAAATAGATGGGCTTGAAAGGTCTCAATTTCAGGACTACATTGAGCTGGACAGGGTGGAGAAGTGGGCCCATGTGAACCCATTGAGGTTCAGTAAGGCCAAGTGCAGGGTGCTGCAATTGGGTCAGGGCAATCCCAGGTATTTATACAAACTGGGGGAAGACCTCCTTGAGAGCAGCCCTATGGAGAAGGACTTGGGGGTCCTGGTGGATGAGAAGCTGGACATGAGCCAGCAGTGTGCGCTTGCAGCTCGGAAGGCCAACTGTGTTCTGGGCTGCATTAAAAAAGGGGTGGCCAGCAGGGAGAGGGAGGTGATTGTTCCCCTGTACTCAGCTCTTGTGAGGCCCCATCTGCAGCACTGCATCCAGGCCTGGGGCCCCCAATACAGGAAGGACGTGGAGCTCTTGGAGTGGGTCCAGAGGAGGGCACTAAGATGATCAGAGGGCTGGAGCACCTCTCCTATGAGGGAAGGTTGAGGGAACTGGGCTTCTTTAGCCTGGAGAAGAGAAGGCTGTAGGGAGTCCTCATTGTGGCCTTCCAGTACTCGAAGGGAATGTATAAACAGGAGGGGGAATGGCTGTTTATGAGGGTGGATAGTGATAGGACAAAAAGGAATGGTTTTAAACTGAGACAGGGGAGGTTTAGTTTGGATATTAGGAGGAAATTTTTTGCACAGAGGGTGGTGAGGCACTGGAACGGGTTGCCCAAGGAGGCTGTGGATGCCCCATCCCTGCAGGCATTCGAGGCCAGGCTGGATGTGGCTCTGGGCAGCCTGGGCTGCTGGTTGGTGACCTGCACATAGCAGGGGGTTGGAACTGGATGAGCATTGTGGTCCTTTTCAGCCCAGGGCATTCTGTTATTCTTTGAAACTATTCCTCAACTTTTTCAATTTTTTTTTTCCTTAAATGATTAGGATTTTTTATTTTCTTGGCTGATATTTCTCTGTGTATGTCTGTGGTGTGTGCTGAATAAGAGCTAAGCTTTTTGGGCTTGTACGGGAACTGCTGAATCACGGCCTGAACCACTGATTGATCACATGAGGCAAGCACTGGTTCAGCCCTGGGAGCACAGGTGAAGGCATTTCAGTTGTGGGACAGGAAGGGGTGAAGCCTGGCTGCTCCTCTCCTCGCCCCCATTTAAGGGCTGACTGTCACTAGGGGAGGGTCTGTTCCTGGAGATTGCTCCTTTTGGAGTTTTTCTGTGAGTCCAGGACATGGGTGAGCGTTTTCATTTATTTTCCATTATCCCATTCCAACATATCCTTCTAGTGATATGACTTGTAAAATACCAGCCTAACCACACCACTCTGCTAATTGTGTATTTGTTGACTGTACATGGCCCCTGACTACAAGAAAGATTTGGAGACCCTGGAGTGTGTCCAGAGATGGGCATGGAGCTATGAGGGGTCTGGAGCACAAGTGTGATGGGGAGCGGCTGAGGGAGCTGGGATGGGTCAGTGTGGGGAAGGGGAGCTCAGGGAGATCGTATGGTTCTCCACAGTTGCCTGAAAGGAGGCTGTGATGAGATGGGGTCAGCCTCTGCTCCCAGGTTACAGTGATAGGACAAGAGGTGATGGCCTCAAGCAATGCCTGGGGAGGTTCAGGTTGTGTACGAGGAGACATTTCTTCTCCGAAGGAGTGTTGAGTTATTGGCACAGACTGCTCGGGGTAGTGGTGGAATCACCATCCTTGGAGGTGTTGAAGAATCATGGTGAGAGATGTGGTTAGTGAGCACTGTTGGTGGGGATGGTTTTATAGTTGGACTGGATGATCTTAGTGTTTTTTTCTAAGCTTAGCAGTTCTGTAATTCCAAGCTGATGGTGGTCAAACTTGGCCCAGCTCGTGCTCTGTGTTCTAGTTTTCCAACTAAATTATGATCACTGTAGACAAATATATATATAACTGTCAAGTATCATATGCTAATGTCTCTAGTACAGTTGCTGGAACATGCCAGAGGTTCATAACTGTACTATATTTTATACTTTGCAGAGTTTGAAGAAGCAAGAAAATGGGTAGCAAACGATTTAGCCTTTGATAAAAATGTGGATGTGAACCTGTTTGAGAGCACTATTCGTATCCTGGGTGGCTTGCTGAGCGCCTACCATCTCTCTGGGGATAGCCTCTTCCTGGAAAAAGCTGTGAGTGATTAGTCCTGGAAAGTAAATTGGATTAGTATATCATAGTGGAAGAAGTTGGGGAAGGGTTCATCAGGAAGTGAAATGTTGCCGTTTTGCAGCTGTTTCATGGTGGGAGAGGCATTTACCATTATTTTACATTTACCATTATTTTTTTTTAAGCCTGTATTTGTTTGCTCTCTGGATCAACTTAGAGCTCTACTGTGTTGTACCAGGTACTATTTTAGATGTGCCTTTTAGATTCTTCTGTTGATGAAGAGTTGACCATTGTAAGGAATTTTATGAAGCAAAAGCTTAAATAAATGGCTTGAAAAGAGTATTTGGTAGATTTTGTCACCTTTTCACTGCATCTTGACAGCATCAGCCACCTCCTTAAATTAGACAGAGTTGATGATTTCATTAAATCATGTTGTATAGGGACTGCAGGCTTGGTTGAGGCATACAATGCAGGAAGGAGGTAGAAACTAGCTATTATTCCAGATTAACGTGTGACCATTTTAATTCTTGTCTTTCTCTCACAATCTAAAGCTAGGCTGCTATTGTCCTCATCTGATTGTTGAAAGAAAACCTGAAAGTTTGCATGTGTTTATGTTTACTTTTCTTTTTTATCCCGCGTTCTTTAGAAAGACATTGGGAACAGGCTCATGCCAGCATTCAGGACTCCTTCCAAAATCCCGTACTCTGATGTCAACATTGGCCGTGGCACTGCGCATCCGCCCCGCTGGACGTCTGACAGCACTGTGGCAGAGGTGACCAGTATTCAGCTGGAGTTCAGAGAGCTCTCTCGTCTCACTGGGGATGAAAAATACCAGGTATGGAAGAGCCAGTTGATGCTACTCCTTTCTTTTTTTTTCTTTCTCTGTACTTATCTACAGCACCACCAGCACCTGTAGTCTCCCTGATGTTAAATGAGTTGTGAAACTGTAAGTGAAGAAAGGAAAATTCCAATCATTCCAATTATTTTCTTAAGTGCCAAAAGGTAATGGTGAAGATAATTATTTTTCTTCCTTGGAAACAGCTTTTTAAAAAACAGGACAACCATCTCCTCACACCTGTCCCTTCACTCTTAGGATTGGTATTTCTACTTGACACTACATTATCAGATCTGCAAAAAAATTAAATGTGGGCTGTGAAGCTGTGCATAGCTTAATGTTTTTAGAATTCTGCATGTGACTTCATGCTATTATGCAAATTGTAAGAAAAAAATACTCTTGTTGCCCTTAGCAAGATTAAAATGGCTATAAATTAGATTCTGTGTCATGGTATAAGAAAAATTTATTTAAATAAAGATAATTCTGTAGAAAAGAATAATTTCCACTGTTGTTTTTTGGTAATGTTATTCTGTTGTTTTTAAGCTGTATCTGGAGCTCATGCTTTGAATAGTGCTGTTGTTTCTTTAGGGATAACATGGTTCATGCAGTTTTTTTAGCTGGGAGTCATATCTCAAACTGAAGTACTGAAAATTTGAGTGGGCTTTCTGCACTCAGGAATACTCTTGAGCTTTGTATTTGAGAAGGAAAGAGTTTTAATTATTTCAGAGTACTTAGGCATACTGAGAACATCAGGCTTTAGTAGTCAGAAAGTTTGAAATGCTGTGTTTATTACATCCCGTGAGCTGAACTTGTGTACAGAAGGATAACTAAAGATTTGTTACTGGCCAGAAGTTATTGGCCACAGTTTTTTGTGTCGTTTGTATGCGTGTAATTTATGTTTATACTGCTTTTTCTTCTAGAAAGCTGTTGATGAAGTGATGAAGCATGTTCACACCCTGTCAGGGAAAAATGATGGACTGGTGCCTATGTTCATAAACACCAACAGTGGACAGTTCACTCACTTAGGTGTTTATACTCTGGGAGCCAGAGCAGACAGCTACTATGAGTATTTGCTCAAGCAGTGGATTCAGGGTGGGAAAACAGAAAATGAGTAAGTTCTTTCTACTTCTCACACTGATATGAAAATGATATAATTGTAAACATTTCTGTTGTAGTTTAATGCTGAGAGAAATATAATGTGTATATGTAACAATCAACTTAAAGTAGCTCACTTTTAGAAACAGGTGTATGATGACCTGTGGTAAGTTGAGGTTAAAACAGCTGGAGAATTGGGCTTGCTCTCAAAATGTCGTCTTTTCATCATCACATCAGATGTGATAAATGTTGTAGACAGGAGAAGTGATTTAAGTCTTTGCACTAAATATGGAGTATAAACAGGCTGTCTTTGGAATGATGTCCCTTTGGAAATTATACTGCCTTTCACCTGCTGTCCAAGTATTCTCTGGGTTTGTTAGGGAAGGACAACTCCTACTAGATGGTTGTGGTGGGAGGTTTGGTTTGTGAAGTGTAACTTAGGAGGTTTAACATTTGTTTAAGTATTACTTTAGGTCTCTTGACCTAAAGTGGAAAATAATGTTTTTTAAGGAGTAGAAAAATTAGAGATGTTTGAAGGTTTTCTCCAAAACAAGGGGGGGAAAAAATCAAGCAGTTTTTATAAGCTAATTGTGTTGGAAGTGTTTCATGTCAATGGGTTCACTTCATCCAGAGAGGCAGTATGCCTCAGTGAGGCACTGCAGAGCAGATGTATCTGTCTCTACGTAGTTTGCATCATGGCTTTTTACAAGCCATGCCTTACTGTAAACAGAACCATTGTCTTTAGGCTATGATGGTATTCTGCGAGCCTCAAAAGGGAATAACAAAATGATTTTCTCATATAAAAATATTTAGAACAATGGAAAGTCCAGTTAAATACTGTGAAGAAGTGATTCATAATGAGTGGTTGCACACTGGAAAAGACTGCTCAAAGTCGTTGCTTAGGAGATGCTCAGAAATTAACTGGATAACCCTCCAAGCAACCTGATAAAACCCAAACTGCTTCAGAGCAGGAGGCTGCACTACAGATGTCCAAGACATCATTACTAGCTGGGGCTTTCTGTGATTACAGTACTCCTAAGGATTCCTGAAATGATATCTAGTTATTGTTTGGAAACAGAGTTGGAGTTATGTTTGCTTTATTACTTAGGAGTTACTTGAAAAACAAACCCAATGTGGTAGCTGTAGCTAATAAATGTACATCATCAGCTGTGATGAAATGGATTCTGTGTGTATGTGAGCCAACTGGGAATGATTTTAATTTACAGACTGCTGGAGGACTATATGAGAGCCATAGAAGGTGTGAAAAAGCATCTTCTTCAGAGGTCACAACCCAAGAAGCTTACCTTTGTAGGAGAACTTGCTCATGGCCATTTCAGTGCCAAGATGGTAAGAGAACACCTGCACATAACAACACAAGAAAACGAGCAAAATTACCACCACAAAGAAAAAAAAGATCAACATATGCAAGTGTGAGGCTGTGATGCTCTTGTGTAGCTTTTTAGACAAAATCTGACCTGTAGCAATCACTTTCTGAGCAAAGATGTTTCCTCTGGCTTTGTGAGCCACTACTGAAAGATGATTAGCAACAGCTTTGACAGTTTACACGTAGCTGAGGTGTAAAGAGCACTGCAGAGAGAGTGGGAGAATTGCTGCAGCTCCACCAGGCTCATTGGCCTGTTTTCAAAGGCTGCAGACTCTATGGATGTGTGTAGCAGTGTAATAACAGTAACTAGATTGAGGATAATGGGTACCCTTTGATTTACCTTTCTGAGTTACTCCAGAAACTGCATTTACATTCATATGAAAGTTAACATTTTGGTGTTGGATTTGAATTCTACCCCAACCCACCCTCCTTTGTCATAGAATTTCATTGTCTGAAACTGCTGCGACAATGTCTGTTTTGTGTAATACTACTTCTCCATAATTTAGAAATACAAAAATTCAAAAGTACACCTGGTTTTGCAGATTAACCTTGAAAACAAACTTTTTTTAGTTAGTACTAAAAAATGAAAAAATGAGAATTTTGGAGGGTTCTGTCTGTTCATGATATTTATTTCTTTTTCTGCATATATGTTCAGTAGTTGAAGCAGTGTGCCATTTGCTGGTGGAAAAACTTGCTAAGCTGAACTCCCTGTTCTTAATCTGCAAAGTCACGCTCTTTAAAATGTGGTTTTAAAATCTTTCTGTGAAAGATCTTATGCAAATGCACATAGCCTTTTTTTTTTTTTTTTTTTGTGGTGCATTAGTGATGTATGTGTGGCCTTGTCTGCACTTTTTCAATACCTGTAGTGATCTTTAAGGAACTCTTTGGATTGTTTGTTTTCTTTATAGCGTTCAGCTCTGTTTTGCAACGTGATGACACTCTCCTGTGCTTATGCTGAACCAGCACCCATAGAATTGGACAAAGTGTTTAACAGTTCATTCCAGTGCTGCCTGAGCACCAGGGCATGTGTCCTGTGTTCATGTGGGAAACCAGAGCTTTCATTCCAAATGTTAGGAATCATTTGAAATTCTGTACGTGACAATAACCTTATAATAATTCTTACATTCATAATATCAGTGGTGGGTTACCCCTGGAAAGAGGACAGTCAATCTTGTAGTGCAAATTGAAATTTGCTGGAGCTGACTTCTGGACACTTTATACAGTGATGTTTTCCAATGTGTTCAGCTGACTTGGGCAGCTGAGAAGACTTCGTTGCTTACAAACGTCGCCCATCTCTTGTGGAGCTAGCATTCCTTTTGTCCTTTGAAGGCACTGTTTGCTGTAGCGTGGAAAAGCTGAGAAAGGAATGGGGTTCTTTCACTCCCATTTTGTGCTGGGGGAGCAAGCAGGAGGGCTGTGTGCACACACACCCCCAGATGCCTCTCTTCTGTGACACACAGGAGCCAGACATGCTTTGTTTGCAATGCCTGGCATGCAGCTAGCAGTGCAGTGCAGAGGTGGGGCTGTGAATGGGAGCCAGCTGCTTCCCGTGCAACAAGCATGGTGCTCACCATGCAGGTGAGCATGAAATAACAGACCCCAAATGACAGGAAGGGGTAAGTCTTCAGGCAGAAATACATTTGAGATCTTATCTGTGTTTTTCGCTTGTACCAGTGCATGGAATGAAGGTGGTTGCATCTCTGTGAGTGTGGTCTGTGTTGCAGTAACACTAAGGTGATTATTTCAGACCAGGGACTTCTTCCTCTCAGTTCTCCCCATTCCTCAAATCCTTTTCTTGTGGCTGACTCTTTTCGCTCTGTGGTCCCACCTCAGTTTTTGTTCTAAACTATTAACACGTATGTCAATACATGTCTTTACATGTTCTTTATTGAGAACCCTTCAGATGATCACTGCCTCTCCCCTCCCCCATACCTGCCACCTTTCTTTCAGATAGTTGACATAAGGACATGTGGACTTGTACTTTTTCCAGATTTGGGCTGGTGCTGTCATAATGCTTTCTGTTCTGTATTGCACTACAGCAGACTGTTAAAATTTATCCTCAAGATCTTGGTACCTGAAATGCCAGGGGAAAAAAAAAAATCACAACCTGTGGCCAAGTAGTGTAATATGAATCCTACTTCACTTGACTTATGTGACCTCTTTTCCTAGTAAGAGTTGTCTTGTCTTACAGGACCACTTGGTTTGTTTTCTGCCTGGGACTTTGGCTCTGGGAGCTCACAATGGATTGACTGCTGATCACATGAAACTGGCCGAAGCTCTCATAGAAACATGTTACCAGATGTATGCACAAGTAGAGACGGGCCTGAGTCCAGAGATCGTGCACTTCAATCTCCATGCACAAAAGGGCCACAAAGATGTAGAAATCAAGGTGAGCAGCTAACTGGCATCAACTGTAGTTTGATGACCCTTCTTATCTCGATTCTGCTGCTGAATATCCCAGCTACACATTGGCGATGTACTTTGTAAAGTGGCTTGTTGTGTTGCTGAATTGCTTTGCAGGTGTACCCTAGCCCTTGTTTTTAATTACCCCTGCAGAGTATTTAGCTTCTAAATTCTGTGCAGAAAACTCTTTTCGGGTTGGATGGGGATGGGAGTTGCTGTTTCTCCCTCTGTGCGTGCTTTTGGAGGAACTACTGGTCTGAATTCTTCTTGGCTTTCTTATTTTTCTCTTGCAGCCTGCAGACAGGCACAACTTACTGCGACCAGAAACTGTGGAAAGCCTTTTTTATATGTACAGATTCACCGGAGATAAGAAATACCAAGACTGGGGCTGGGAAATCTTGCAGAGCTTCAATAAATACACACGGGTAAGATCAGTTCATAGTGCTCTCATTCTTACAGAACTATATTCGCTTGCTCTTTAACAAGAGCTTCTGAAAGCTAGCTTTGTCTCTTGAAGCCATCAAAGATTTGTGGGGAATCTCGTAAGAGCAAACCAAAAGTCAGTTCGTGCAGTGTCTTACAGTTGGAGATGCACAAAATAGTTACAAGCTATTTCAGTGACTGTTCTTTTACACTGATTAGAAATAAAAGAAGGAAGCTCTGTGCAGACTACCAAAACTTTTCTGTGTCTTCTTGGAAGCTGTTAGAATCTGTGCTGTGATCTTTAATATTCAGAAGCGAGAAGAATCTTGCTGGATTGAAACAACACTTTGGTTGCCAGACACAAACTGCCATGGGAAGTGCATTAATGCCATAATAGAGGTCTTTTGTGTTTTCATTCTAATGAGAGTGCTATGAAGAGTCCACTTTGATATGCTGAAAAAGCATAGTGCCAATGGTGATTAAATATCTTCTTAAGAAGAGGCCACAGATAAGTGCCGTGCTATGGCCAACTGTAAGTGCATGTTATTTCCTGTACCTTCGTCCACAAATAGTACTGCAATCTTTGCTGTATCTCTATAAATAGAGCGTAAATGGACATTTTGCTTCATTTTGTTCTGGTGGTGTGTTCAATGGTTTGTCCAGAATTCAGTGAATTGCACAGAATTTTTGTAACTGATTTTTATGTGCATATGAAAAGCAAGAACTAATTCTTCTCACTAGCACTTGTTTTTCTCCATGAGCACCTGCATGCTCTTCAAATAATATTTTAGGTAATAGAAATATACAAAGTGCTTTTTTTCTCTTTTTGCAGGTTCCTACAGGTGGTTATACTTCTATTAACAACGTTCAGAACCCCAGTAACCCAGAGCCACGAGATAAGATGGAGAGCTTCTTTCTTGGGGAAACGCTCAAATACATGTTTCTACTGTTTTCAGATGACATAGACTTAATTAATCTTGACAAATATGTATTTAACACAGAAGCCCATCCACTCCCCATCTGGGTGCCAGCATAGACTGGATCACAGCAGGGTTTCCAGTGGTGGTGTTTTTACCTTCAAGTCACTTTACTTTTCAGGGTGTGTGGAGAGATGCTATATGACATGTTTTCTGGCTTAAACAAAACCTTTGAGAAAGCATTCTCATTTGGAGATGTCATGTCTTAAACCTAATCCCTGTGCTTTGGACCTGGGATGAAAAAACTGTGCAATATTAAGCTGCTTTTCCTGGTATTGATGGTGAGGTTCAGAGAATATTCATAATGTGGACCATGACACAGGGCTCTGGTGGATCAGAACTCCTTTTGTCAGTCTTACTAAATGCTAATTAAATGCCAGGAATGCAGAAAGTTGTCTTAAAGCACAGGAGTGTCTGGAGAGAAGGAATAAGCCTACAGGTTTGTGGTTTATTCCCAACATATGAAACACCTGGTTATGGCACCACTTCTTCATAAGTTCTGGAGAGAAGGAATAAGCCTACAGGTTTGTGGTTTATTCCCAACATATGAAACACCTGGTTATGGCACCACTTCTTCATAAGTGCCCGTGGTGTTTCAGATGGTAAGTGGAATAAACAGTGGATGCTGTCCCAGGTAGAATTAAAGCTGTCAGTGTTGATACTGATAGCCAGATCTCATTCCAAACAACCAAGCTATGCTGCATCATGTTAGAAGGAGGAAGGGGCAGCAAAGTGTCTGTTGTACAGTGTCTTAGTTTTATAGAGCACTTTGAACAATCTGTTCAAGCGGTGGCTGAAATGAATGGTGGGAGAGAATTCGCTGCTGGTTTGGCTCAAAACGGTATATAATTTTGTAGACATATTGCAGTTTTTTAACTTATCTGCAGCAATGCAGGAGACAATGTGAATAAAGTGAATACATGTGATTTTATGTATTAATTGCATCAGTTAGACTCAGGTATTCTGACTGAAAGCTGCTTTGTGAGGTTGGGCACTGGGAAAGCTTGTGAGCACATTAGGTATAATTCCATGTTAGCCTCCTCCCATCCCCTCCTGTTCACATCTTGCATTGTGTTTGTTGACTCAGTGGGCTTAGAACTTATAGCAAACTTCATGTTATTCATCAGTTTTTGGACTGTTGAGAAGTTGTCAGGTTTGAGGTTGTTTTTTTGGTTTTTTTTTTTGATAGGAGTACTTTGGGTAGAAGTATTTCCATGAGGAGCGCTACAAGCAGACAGTCTCCATGTGTTCTGACAATTTCTGGTCCCATTAATTAATTAATTAATTCTATTCAGTTTGAAAAGAAAGCAGAGCTAGGCTTGCTTCTTAAAGAATCCTATGGGAGCCTTTGGACCTTTTGTTTTTACATGTGCAAGATAGGTTTTAAACCATGAAACAGAAAAACACTGATTTCCAAATTCAGCATTCTGTAGCTTTCTATCTTTTGATTTTGTAACTGTATGGACACTCTTATATTCACCAATCTCAGAAGTGTGCTCGTTTGCGTTTTTTTTTTAAAGAGATCCTTCTTGCCAAAATGTCCCTTTTTCTTCTCTGATGAATTAATGGGAGCAGTGGGTATTATGCAGGTGTGTGGCGGTGGGCGTGAGATACAGTCCCCTCATAACTGAGGGCTTCAAAACAGAACTAATCTAATCTGACTCCAGTGGTTAATTTCCAGCAGTTTGGGTGTATGTGTGTTTTATAGTCTTTGTAACCTTTGATTTGTAAGTAAAATAGTGCTTTATTCTGTGCTGACCAGTTCTGTTTACTGGATTCAGAACTTGCCCATTGGACCACTCTCAAAGTCCTTTAAAGAACATTTATCATTCCAGGTAGTAATGATGACTTCTGGGGGTGGGGAAATGGTGCAAATTACATGAATGCACCTTTTTTTCTGTCAGCAAAGGGACCCTGAGATTTCCTAGACAGGACAAACCTGTGCAGAAGGTTCATGTTCCTCCTGCTCCAAGGACAGCAGTAACTTTGGAAGGTGTTGCTTGGCCTTGTGCCTCCTGCTGCAGCTCCTAGTGATCCCTGAACTGCAGATTTTTGCAATGAAAGATACAAATTCCAGAAGAGGTGTTTCACCTATGGGGCAAACCCCACAGAGGAAATGAAGATAATTCTTACGATGTGGAATGCATTGAAGAGCTTGCCAGAAGTAAGTTGGTGGAATCTTGTACGAATCTTAGTGTAGTTAACTCTACAACTAATTTTCTTTTGTCTCGTGTGAGGGTAATGCTAATCCATTGCAGAATGAGAGGAAGGAAGAATAAACATGCACTTTTCCAAACACACTTCTTCTCATAGTTGAGTTTGCTGGTCCAGGTCATTTCCGCTCAATCAAATTCTTCCTGGGAAAATTCCTTCTTTGCAAAGTGTCTCTACTGAACACATCCCTTAAATATGAAGATTGCTCAGCTCTGTTTAGTTTAGAAAGCAAATGTTTGACTTCTCTATCATGTATGAAATAGCACAAACCTAAATAATCTGATAAGAGCTCATTTGCTTCTTCCTGTTCTTTTGCAAAGGTCCTTTAAATTGCTTATTTATTTTGCTTCTTTAGCATAATGTGTTGTCAGCCTATGAACGTTGCCCTTCTTACTTCTCCTATTCATGTCTCTCTGCTACCCTTGCTGAAGCCCAACAGAAACTTTGCACACCTTTAAATTCTTATTTTTCCCCCATGGTGTGGGGTTGTACTCTTGCGCTTCTTTGAACCAAAGCCTTAACTTTGGGGGTCTGTAATCCACTTTGGGGTTTTGACACTGTGGTGTGCTTCTGGTGATCAGATTGAACGTCAGGGAAAAGTTATTACTTCAAGCCAAGATTTTCTCCTTTTGCACAAAGAGCTGCCTTGGTTTCTCTCCAAGAGCTTGAGTGCCTTTTCTAATAAAAATAAAGCAAAAAAGTCCAGCCCTTCCTAGCTGTACCATTCACTGAGAAATGGATGGGTAAGACAGTCAGCAAGACCCTCAGGTGTAGGGCTGGAAGCATCCTGCTTGCAATTTAACCTGTTTGCTCAAAGAAAATTCAGTATCTGGATGCAGGCACATTTAGCATCTAATCTGTTCAACCTTCTTGAGCATGGAACTTTCCATACCAGGCATGGAAACTGGCAGGTTGGCAAAGTCCATGGCATTGGCTTATGGGGAGCTTTCATGTTTCACACCGCTTTCTGATTGTGAGGTTCTCAGCACTGCATGCCAAGCTCAAACGCTGCAGTGTTTGCACCTCCAAATACAAGCCATCAGCTTTCTTTCCTATTCCATAGTGTGATGTTGCAGAGATAAGGGATGCATAAAGGATTTCTTGCAACTGCCATGTTTGAACAGTTTGTGGCAGTTCTGCTCTTGAAGACTTTAAAAATTATTTATATAACACTTCATGTATATCCCTCACACTGGATTCCTTTGGGGCAAGTACTGTCTGCAGAAGGAAACTGAGGGATTCACGTAGTCCACTGTAAGACTTAAAGAACTTGTATTCCTCTGGAAGGTCAGAAGACACCTTGGGAACCTGTTAATGGGAAGGCTCAAAGCAAGCAACTGTCCAAAGGTGGTAAATTGCAGACCCAAAAGACTGATATTGAACTTGGCTGCTGTAATGCATTGCTGGCTTGGTTTAGAGTGTCTGCTTGCTGGGAGCTGCGGTAAGGCAGAGACAAAGGCAGTACAGGCAAGATGTGATCCTCTGTCTGCACAGACACCTGCTGCTATATGCCTTTCTTATGTGGTGCTAATCTTGAACAATTGCTAGGGTAGAGCAAATCTCAGTGCAAAAGCTGGGGTCTGTGTGTATGGAGGGAGAATGCCAGACTCCAGCTCAGTGTGGCTGGAGGTGGCAGAGCTGTTTGAGCCATAATTTCAGCAAGACAACCTGAAGCCTGACTTCAGTGTAAGCCAAAGGCATGCTGACAGATCCTAGCAGAGGTAGCAGACTTTCCTACAGCACAAGGGGAAAAAAAATTCTTACTGAGGTTGTAGTTGTATTAACAGTCATAAAGCCTCTCTGTTTGGGGCTGGAGTTTGCCTAATCAGGTCTTCCGTATGTTCCTATCCATTTGTAAATATCTGAATAATTTGATGAATAGGCCATAGATCCTATTCTTCCTCTCTGTACCCATCAAAGAGAAGCTTTGTCCTTTTGAGCTTAAGAACAGGGAAGAGGTAAGTTGGTTGTATGCAAAAACGCAACAGCAATGAAGACAAAACATAGACCTTTTATCAGTACCTCAGTATTGTGAAATAACAGTGACCAATAGTCTAACTCTGGGAACCAGTGTACTGTGACAGCAGGGAGGACCTGGCAGTGCAAATACTTGTGTTTAAGCTACATGATGTAAGTTGGAGCAATGCTGTGACTGTGTAAGCAGTGCAAGCCTGTGGTAAGCAGTGAGGCTTCTCCACTCATAAAACTCATAAAAGCACTGCAACACTGATGAAATGAGGCATCCAACTGATGACCAAAACATGTATTTTTACAGTTCTGCTGGTATTTACTGGCACACAGTACATTGAGTAGGTGAGAATCTACCCGTTGAAGTGCACAGATAGTTTGCTCCACTTTAAAAAAATCAAAACAATCCTTTTTTGTCATCTTTGGTTATACTTACCAAGACATGAAATTGTCACACACTTAAATAAACTTGTTATTTATTTTAAAGAGATGAAGCTGTCTCAAGTATAATTGTGCTTATACTCACTAGTATGTGGCTTCTGAGGGATGGTGGGACAAAACAGGATTTCTGCAAATCAATTGCTCACCAAGCAGATCTTGTGTCTTCTTATTTTCTTATGTCTCTTAAGAAACAACAGAAAAAGATAACATCAAAACCCATAGCACTGAATGGAGCTGAGCATGTGAGACTGGAGCAGTGTGTGCAGTGCTGGGCTCCCCAGCTCCAGGCAGACCAAACTACTGCACAGAGCCAGCACAGGGTGCAGAGATGGTGGGGGCCTGGAGCACCTCCTGATGGGAAAAGGTTGAGAACCCCAGGGCTGTTCAGCTGCAAGAGGGAAGGGGAGAGGGGATCTGATCAATAACTATAAGTATCTAACGGGCAGGAGTCAAGTAAGTGGATGTGGCCAGGCTCTGCTCAGTGATAGAACAAGGGGAGATGGGCACAGACAAACCTGCCTGGATGTTTTCCAGTGCAGCCTGCTTCAAAGGAACCTGCTGTAGGATCAAACAGGGATCATCAGTGGTCCCTCCCAACCCCTACAATTCTGTAATTCTGTGATTTGTGCAGTTGGTCACCTGTGAAGCCATGTATATAATGACCATACCTCCACTTTTCCTCTAGACAGAGAAAATAAAAAGGGGATGATTAATAATTTACCTTCATCCTACCCAACACATTCTTCAGGACAGCAATGACTCCTGAGCCTTCAGGAAAATTTTTATTGTTTCACCATTTCAACTATCTTCCCATTATGAGCAGGTAAGCATGAAACCCATGCAACATGATTTTGACTTCAGTCAGTAACTTGGCTTTTTGATTTTTTGCTGCTGCTGCTTGAATTTCCATTACCAGAGGAGGCAACACCTTCTCCAGAAGCAGAACTCTGCTGCCTCGGGCAGCCCAGCAGCACCTGAGCATGGCTCCCATGGCTGCACTCACTGCCAGCTACCAGCTGGTGCTCGGGAGCGCTGCTCCCATGCTCTTTCCATCCTTGCAGATTTCACCCAGCTGCTGATGATGCTCGCTTCTAACTTGCGTGCCTCTATGACAGATGGAGGGTCAGCTGGGTTGCGGCCCCTGGGGACAACAAAGAAACATCAGAAAAATTGAGTGCACCCTCAGCAAGTTTGCAGATGACACCAAACTGAGTGGTGCAGTCAGTAAACTGGAGGGAAGGGAAGCCATCCAGAGGGAACTGGACAGGCTGGAGAAGTGGGCCCATGTGAACCCATTGAGGTTCAGTAAGGCCAAGTGCAGGGTGCTGCAATTGGGTCAG